TCTTATGGGTTTGGGGTCATCTTTAGAATGATGGCAACATATATGTGTATATCACTTCACCAACCTCAAAATGTGGTTGCTGCATTTGGAAGGGGACAGGGCAGAGAATGGCGGTTGGGGGCAGACTCCAACTCATTCTGCTGAGTGGGGCCCTGGTAGAGTTTAGAAAAGGTCAACTGAAATGACCAAGGGGATGAAGTGACTCCCTGGTGAAAAAAGGCTGAAGAATTTGGGACTTCTTAGTTCAGAGAAAAGGTGAGAAAGCAGCAACATGATAAAGTTTATAAAGTTTTGCATGGCATGGAGAAACAGAAAATGGCAAATGTAAGTACAATCGTACTTTGGTTCTCAAACAGAATGCGTTCCAGGAGTCTGTTCGACTCCCAGAACCGTTCAAAAACCAAAGCGCGGCTTCCGATTGGCTGCAGGAGCATCCTGCAGCCTATTGGAAGCTACACTGGACGTTCAGCTTTTGAAAATCGTTCAAAAACCAGAACACTCACTTCCGAGTTTCGATTGTTCGGGAGCTAATTTGTTCAGGAGCCAAGGCATTCGGCTTCCAAGGTATCAGTGTACTGTACACATTGGGGCAAAAATGGTCACAGTCATATATTCTGTGTTATGTACTGAAGTTCTCACCCTGGGCCAGCAGGGGGATTCTGTAGATAGTTTTCACTCAGGTCCACATATGCAAATAAGGGATTGAAAGTGATGTTCAGTGATTGGGTAGTTACAGAAAGTGGTTACTGTTGCATTCTAGTGGAGCTGTATATAAGCAGGCTGGCTGAAGCCTTCAGTTCAGTTCTGTTCTGGCCTGTGAATAAACACGAGCTGTTTGAAGAATCGCTGTTTCGTCTGATATGTTCACCCAGAACTTAACATTCCGTATTATTCTATTTGAGTTTGTTTGTTTTTGTACAATCAAGCAGTGTATAAATTCTGTGGAATTAGTAAATAAGGCTGTTCATTTTTGGACATCTAATAAAGTTGAACGTTGGACAATTCAGGACTGATGAAAGAAAATACTTCACACAGCACCTAGCTAAATTATGGAACGTTGTCCCACAAAGACAGTGGGGGGGGGGTCACCAGCAGCTTGGATGGCTTCACAAGAGGATGAGTCAAATTCTCATAGGATAAGATTATCAGGGGCTACTAACCCTGATGGGTATGTTCTGCCTCCTCAGTGAGAGGTGGCATGCTTCTGAATAGCGGTTGCTGGAAAGTTCATTAGGGCAGAGTGCTCTTGTGCCCAGATCCTGCTTATGGGCTCCCCTTGGGCACCTGGCTGGCCACGGTGAGAACTGATCACTGGACTAGATAGGTCTCATGTCTATAGCAATATGGCTAGAGCCAAGAGCAAGGCAGACTTTAGGCTTTGTTCTTCCCCTCCTCCTATCCGGTTACTGGCTATTGGATTCCCATTAAACCACTCCTTTCCTTATCTGCTTGTTCAAGGCTGAATTGGCACTTAAGCAAGAGAGACACAACCCCTCAATTAAGCTATAAACGAGGTCCTTGCAGAAAAGGACCCAGAGACCTTTCAGTCTTATCACTTATGCTTTCACTCTCCTGTGCCTGCCTAGTTTTCTTTGCTCGCTTTCTTGTAGTAGGTTCTTGCTTCTTACCCGCCCATGAGTTCTCTTGCTTCATAACTAATTTTTGGTCCTCTTCACAATCAGGAAGGTGCAAATCCTGTGTAGACAAATGGCATCCCAAAGCCAGCGTTCTACAGCAGCTGAACTGCCAGTTGGACTTTACCTGCTGTTATGGCTGCTGGCTGACAAGCTTAACTTTATTTTTCAACTCCTCAAAAATACATATAACAAACAATCCCCATATTACCACCCCCCACAGAAACATCCCACGCACAAACAATGTTAATGATGTAGTCAAACATTATGCAGGTCTGTGTAATGGTTTAGAGTTGGTTACATCAGGTAAGTGCCTTCCACCCTCTGTTTCAACCAATTTTCCCAGAGTGAGCCATGCGGAGGTGGCGGTGAGAGGACACCATCCTTTCCAGTTCCCCGAATGGGCCATGCAGTTTCAAAGCTGTCTTTGTGTTTCTTAGCGCTCCAAGATGCTTAGTTTCTCCATAAGGGTTTGTGTTCCATCTTCCTGTGGATGATGTTGAGATTCCTGCATTGCTGGGATTTGGACTGGATGACCCCCAGGTCCCTTTCAGCTCTGCAATTCTATTCTGCTAGCATTCTGAAGCAAAAGAGAAGACGGGAAGTGCGAGATGCCTGCCACTGTTTGTGTGAACCCGACAGTTACATATGAACAGGGAAGGTTAGAGGTAAGTGAGGTGTGTCAGCCTCACATTGCAACGTATTGTAACTGCATACTCAAAAGTTCTTTTGTTTGGAATCAAGAAAGCAGGGTATGAGTCAGCACGGGGGTAACTGAGCATGTGCAGACAGCAGAAGAAGAAACCAGACCTACACAAGCATCAGCAGGGAACAAAGAAACATAAACTGTGCATGGCTGTAGTTCAAAAAATTTCTGATCATTTATTTGTTAAATGTGTATACCACCATTCATCAGTAGATCTCAGGGCGGTTTGCAGGATAAAAGGACTGTGGTTCTCTTTGTTCGAGGCAGTTAGACTCATTCTGTGGAGGCTGTCCTTTGCTGCAGCAGAGAATAAAGAGGGCACCTAGCTTGATGCCATGCTTCAGATTTTTTTAAAAAAAATATTGTCAAGGAAATGCCCTTAGGTGTTTGTCCCAGGTGGGATTAAACAAAGACGCGACCATGAGAAGTGCTAAGCAAGGCACCCAGCTAGGGGCATCCTCCGCACCACCATGCCTCTAGGGTTAAGTTAGTAGATGTTTTCCAATATTTCCATCTGCAGCCATGAAGAAGATTAGTAGGCCTTTAAGCAGTAAATCATTATGTTCATCTATAGATTCAACAAAGCAAGCCTTGGATCAGGTTGTATATCACCTGTCCCATAACAGAAGAAACTTCTTTGGAGATTCTTTTTCCAAAACAATTGTACCAGTTTGCAATCCCAACCATATATGGAAATATGGAACATAGCTGTTGACATCCTCTTCAACATAAAGCAGTTGAAACAGAAATTAACCTGTGGCATTTCGTGGGTGTCTGGTGCCATCTGTGCCACTTTCCCTCATTTTAGCAAACACTGACTTCAAAGGGTTTTCCCACCAAGTTTTCGCCAGTCTGCGTTGTCAGTTCCACAGTGTACATGCATTTCCAATACAAATTTTAATGAGATTAGATCCCCTGTGATCACAGCACAGATAATCTTGTAGATATTTGAGGGAAGTTTTTTTTTTTTTTTAATGTCTATGTAGAATTAAAAACTAGTTGTTCAAATGTAGATTACTAGTTAACAATTCAGGATGGTTGACATTCCATCAGTGGGACCTGATGCTTAGGAGATGGGCACAATTCAAAGTGTTGGTGCTGACCTTTAAAGCCCTAAACGGCCTCGGCCCAGTATACCTGATGGAGCATCTCCCCAGAGAGGTTGAGGAGGCCCGGCCAGACGGGTGGGGTATTATTATTATTATTAATTATCATCATCATCATTATTATAATCAAAGCTTGGATAAGGTGACCTACTCTTGCTTTTATATCTGTCAGTGGCTTTTAGCAGGTATAGGCAAACTCGGCCCTCCAGATGTTTTGGGACTACAAATCCCATCATTCCTGGCCCTGTTAGCTAGGGATGATGGGAGTTGTAGTCCCAAAACATCTGGAGGGCCAAGTTTGCCTATGCCTGGCTTTCAGTCATGATGTATCAACAGAGCCTCTATGTATCAGTTACTGGAGATGGAGGACAGGGGAATGTCCCTCCATTCATGCATTGCTTGTGACCACCCAGTCATTTGACTGGTTTCTGTTGAAAATGGGACGCTACAGTAGAGCGACCTTTGGTCTGTCCTAGCAAAGCAATTGCTCATATGCCCTTTACAAGCTTTTCACTCGAGTCAGCTCAAATAGTAGCCGGAAGAAGAGAGAAAGTTTAAGATTGCTCATGGGGTGGAGTGGAGGGTGGATCCATGGTTTGCTGTAAATATTTATCCCTCTTCACTGTCAGAGGAAAATAAAACTCTGGTATGCTCAGTAACGCATTCCTTGAGTGTTCCAAAGTTGGGCAAAGCTATTGGGTTACTTTTTCTTCCTTCCATGTTTAGCTATTGTTTTCAAAGAGATACTTATCCAGCTATGATGACTGACCATCAATAAAAAAATTAGTAATCAATTAATGTCAGTGCTTTTTTTCTGGGGGGACACAGGGGGACACATACCCCTAAATATTTTGTGAATCTAAGTTTGGCCTCATTGAGGGGCAGTATTTCAATATGAGTAGGAAAATGAGAGTACCCCTAAACATATTTTTAGAAAAACAGCACTGATTGATGTCATTCATGATTAAGGCTGCAAGCCTTTGTAACGCTTACCCGTGATTAAGTTCCACTGAACTCAACAGAAATGACTTTTGAGGAGACATGCAGAGAGGAGTGTGTCCTGCACAAATTTACTTGGAAGCAGGTAGGCTGTATTGAAATGTGGGACTTAAATCTTGAGGAGGTAGGCACAGACTCACACTGTAAATTGAACAGAATAAGCCCTACAGTCCAATAGTTCTCCAAGTGATTCTTACTGGTTTACCAGGGTGGTTAACCAGGAGCCCTTCTGGTGTTGATGGACTACAACTCCCATCACCGTGGACCACTGATCACGCTAGCAGGGACTGATGGGTGCTGGAGTCCAATGACATCTGGAGGGCCATAGGCTCCCTAGTCTTGTTCAGTGGGGTACCATTTTATCCAGTGGAGAGGACCAGTCTTTTAATTTCCTCATCCTCATCATGAAACTTTCAAAAACCCTGGAACTTCAGCACGGTTCATCATCATATAAGCATTTCTGCCATACTTTTTTCCGTGAATGAAAAATTTAGAAGAAGTAAGAAGCAGACAGGCACAAAACGAGGGAGCCACACTGTGTTTTATCTTTTATTTCCAAATCTGTTGCTTTCATGGTACAATTTTACATGGCTGGGGAGGACGTCCACGGACCTCTCTCTGCCAACAAACTGGAGAGGGGGAGGGAAAGACAAAAAATAGAATTAACCAACCAAAACAAATGCTCTCCAGAGCCTAGGCCACCACATGTACAATCAAAGAACCGCTCTGCAGATTCGCACGGCAACTTCATCTCCCAGGAAAGAGATGGGGATGGGGAATGCCTCCTCCCAGGAACATTCTGAGCTCTTCAAGGCAGTGATAAGAGTGCCAGCTGTCAGCAGCAACACAGCAAACAACTAGGAAGGCATGAGAGAGGCTGACACTTTTGCCTATAGCTCAGTGTCATTCTTTTTGGCACACATCTCTGCGAAGCGTTTGATGAGTTCGGTGGATCCTTTCCTTACCCACAAAGAGGCATGCAAACCTCTCGGGCAGAAGTAGCGCCTCTGAACATGACCCATCTGCTTTCTTCCTCAAACTAACAAACAGGGTTGGTGTTGTTAAAGGAGTGCCCTGGTAGACCAGGACAATCTGCACACAGCTTTGGTGGGTTTGATGGCCTCGCACCCCTCCAAGACAAAACCATGTTCAGCATGCTGGGAAGTAGAAGTGGAGGGTCTGAAAATGGAAGCCTCCTTCTAAGAAAGATCTGGACTGATGCAGTTATGTGTGTGTGTGTGAGAGAGAGAGATGAGGGCTTTCCTTTGATGGCATGGCCTCTTCTAGATATTGAATCGAACCCACAAGAAAACATAGCCACTCACCCAATCAAGCCCTTTCCGAAGAGAGAAAAATCAGTTTAAAATGAAAACAGAAACTCCAGTATTCCACCAACCCACCAACTAGCTTTCTTTTCTTTTCTTTTTGATGATCAATAAACATTGCAGACATCAATTGAATTATAAAGAGGGTAGAAAGTACAAACAGCATCCAAAGAAAGTTAGGAGACAATCTTTCTTGAGATCAGTGGAACAAAGAGAAAATCTGGATCCTGGTTTGGCTATATATACATACACAGACTGAAAAACCCCCAGTGTAAACAAGCTCTTTAGTGGAGCCCAACAGGTCACATTCAGGGATGATGAGTACACAAAGGACTTTTGCATTCAGCACGTCTGGAATGATTTGCACTTTTACATGAGAAAGAAGTTGCATTTCATTTCTTTTACATATTTGCACAAAAGCATGCCTGGGTCTTTGCTTGCTTCTCAGCCTCGTTTCCTCCTAGCTTGATTCTTATAAACAAGTAAGTTCTGATTAATTTTTTTTTCTGGGCCCAATCCCCCATCTTCTGCCTTTGCAAGGGTCAGTGATAACTGTGCCCTCTGCTTGGCAGCAGAGGTAGATTGCCACCTGCCTCTTGGCTTGGCACATAATGGTTTCCTCCAATTCTACATGGGAGGATAAAGGCAGCTCTGACCAAAAGCTGGAGCAATCCCACCTTTGCTCAGGCAACAAGTGGGAAAGGTCAGAAGGCTAACGGGAGCCCTTTCCCTCCCAGGGTAACAGACTGTGGAATGTATTTGAGAATCATTAAAAAAGAAAAACCCCATTCCTTTTTCTTAGTCACAATTAGACCAATCAAAAGGCGTCTGGCCTGAGCGAGTGGAAGGGGTGGCCACAAGCCAGCTGCCACCCACCTTGGACCATCACAGAAAAAAAGTCCCCCAGTGTAAACATTAAGTCAGTTTTGTTTAACATTAAGCTGTAGCATTCTGTGGTAATAAGGCAGTAAACGGAGCATTGTCGCCGCTGAAAGTGAGTTAAGAGACATCAACATGCAAGGGAAGCCTGAGATTGGAAGTAGATCTTATATAGCACCAAAAGACCAGTTGCTTCTCTTATAAGCACAATCCTCTCGGCCACCAGAGCTAGAAATTTAAACATTCAGACAGATATGTGGTACACTCCTGTGTGTGTGTGTGTGTGTGTGTGTGTGTGTGGTGTTATTTGGAAGCAACCTTCTCAAATTATCCCTGTATTTGGAAGAAAACAAATTTAACATATCTGGGAGGAGGCTGCCTTCTCCCTAACTTGGAGATTTTAATGGACGGTTCTGCTTTCAAACAGGCAATTCTTGGTGATGGTTCTGAGAGAATGCATTGCCACAAAGGGACTGTATCACTTGCTGTTATGAACATTCAGGTCCTACTCTCTGATCTGGGTGAGGGCAAGGGTTTTATTGGTTGTTCTGCAACATTTCCTCAGTGTCACCACATTATTGCTGTCTGGAAAGGCACTCTTCCGCTCTGGCGCAATAAAAGTGGGGCACTTCTTCACCTACCTCAGCCCATTTGTGGAGTGAAAAGTCACAGGATTTCTGCAGGAAGCTTATGGGACACACACCAACTTGTTTGTCTACCCTGAAACTTTTGCAGGAGCAAACAGTACTTGAAGGAATTGCGTATTACTGCCCTGACACCATCATGAGTGCAAATCATCATGAATGCACAATGAAAAGGTAATCTGGAGAGGCGCAGAGTCCTAAGTGGAGTTAAACATCACTAGTGGTATCCCACTATTGCTTTAAAAAAGTGTGGTTAAAAAGAAAACAAACAGTTGTGCACCGAGACCCCAAAATTAACTGGGTGCCCTTGAGAGTTGACTAGACTGCCACACTCCCGGGACAAAGAAGAAATGAGTATATGGGCACCCAAAGGAAGAGTGGAAGAAAGTGTGAAAAGCACATTAGAATTACAGGTTGTTGCTTTATGTGTGTTTGTGTGCATTTTGCATTTCTATTTCAATTTAAATAAGCACAAGTGCAGTGATGAGGGCCGTTTCTTCTAATGCCTGGATAGAAAGGATGGCTTTTGACAGCAAAGCAGCTTTTCTGAATCTTTTAAGGCCATTGAGAGCTATAATTTGTTAAAAACAAAAGCACCTGGAAATGCATTTGGTTTAGAGCTGGAGGTGTGTGTGTGTCCATGTACAACTACATACAATGATGTAAATGTTTACTTCATTTCAAGACAAGAGAGAAATGCTTACAGTCTAGGGAGTAAGAAATCATGTACTGCACTGTGAAAAAATGAGCAAGTCAAAGTTATTGACTAATTCTGGAATAAGTGAGGCAAAAGTGTACAGTTAAAATGCTTTGGTACTACTGTAATGAGACTTAGGGCTACAGTCCTTATGCATACTTACTCACTAGAGAGTAAACTCCATAAAAATAGTGGGACATTTCCATGCAAACAATAGGATTGCACCATAACATGTATAGGATTGCGCCATAACATATATAGGATTGCACCATAAATCACAACTGGATTTCACTAGTTTCTACCTAGAGAACTTATTTGTGTTGTTTTGTATATATGCACACCAGGACATGAACTGCTAAATGAAAACGATGAATGAAGGATTTCCTCCCTTGTTTAATTCGGTTGTGGTCTATAGCTCATATTCGTAGGTTTTCTAGATCCGTATCAGTATCCAAACTGCAGAATTACAGAGAGAACTCCTGGAAGATTAGCACTTGCTTATGAATGCCAGGAGTCAGTGGCAGACCTGAGCAGCAGCATGAAAGGTATGGAGAGATGGTGGAAGCAAGTCAGGTGCCACTTCTGCGTAAGCTTGGGGTGCCACTCTGGTACCCTTCTCCAACCTGGTGCCCTCCAGATGTTTTGGGCTCCCATCGTCCCTGACCATTGGCGACCATGGTACTGATACTGATAGGAATTGGGGAAGGCTGGCACTATGGGATAAGCCTCAGATTGACATAGATACTTCCTGAGTAATCAAGAACATCACCACATGTGGAATACATCAGTGGTATGGCATACCACAAATATAAAATAATGCTATTCCACGGATGGGGAAACCATTGAAGGACCCTTTTAAAAACAAGGTTTTGAAAATAATGCAGAAAAGCATCCTGTCAGTTTAGGCCAATCACTGCCAAGATAAATGAGATCAGCATCACATTAATGGCATGTCTGGAATCCTCAGAATGCTTTCTTCTTCATTTGATGAGAGGGAACATGCAGAGGTTTGGTGGAAGGAAATAAGTTTTCCACAAAGGATTTCTTTTGAAACCTCAGGGCGGGGGTCCCATTCAAAATGGGATGCTTTGGAGAATTCTCCAATCTCTCTTTCAGCTTTTAGTGAAGGTTGCCCATCCCCCCCCCACACCCCAGGCAGGACTTCTGAACTTTTGTTTTTTAAACATATCATTCTGAATTTTTCAATGCTGTGTGATGCCAAAAAAATTCAGCAGGCGGCTATAGTCAGGGGTAGATCCTGACCTGCTAAATTCCTCCTGCTGTTAAATGTAAGAGCCCCACGGGGGGGGAAAAGCAAGCCACCCTGTTTTCGAAGTTGTGTCCTAAACACTGTATACCATGACATTCACACTCAGGGCCCAAGGAATAGGAAATTGGTAGGAGAAGGTAGGCTGACAGCGAAGCACTGTAGTTAATGCCCTTGTCAAGAAGGAAGAAAATGAATGAGAAAGAGGAAGAGAAAGGCAAGTTTCTCATGTGCACCATGGCTGGATCAAGGCTACGTTTAGGAAGATGCACCTTAGAGGGCTCAGATTCTTCCATCTCTTCACTGTCAGCCCAGCCTCACAAGACGGATGGTTCCCAATACCCACTCTGGCTGCAAAAATGTCTGAGAAGAGGATGGAGGCCGTGTATGGAAGAGCATATAAAATATATGCGAGGCCTCTGAACTGAAGCAGTAAAGCTGTGCCCACATGGGGAAGCATTCACAAGAGCTCCACAAAAGCTCCTGGCTAAGGGAATGTGGGAATTTTGGCGCATTCAAGGGTCCAATCACGGGACTGACGGCTTGGGCCAGTGGTGGGTGTGTTTGGGCCTGCCCCTTCCCCAGCAAGATGGCTGCCACTTAGTGCTGCTACCGTGACGATGTCAGGCGGGGGCCTGCCTAAAGGGCAGTCTGAAGAGGGCCTTCAAATGATCAGTCGCTCCATTTTTCCTACCCTGCAAGGCCCTCTGAGGAGCCCTCACTTGGAGAAGAAGCCTGCATAGCATCATGCCACAGTTCGGACGTTATCACTGCCAAAGACAAATGAGATCAGCATCACGGCAACGGAAACAGCAGGACCGTAAAAATAACCATAGAAATTTCTCTTCTCTCTGATTACAAAGTTACAAAAATGTATAAAAAACCCCTTCCCGGACCCTCCCACCCTTTCATGGTTGCACAGAGTATAGAAATGTATCAGAAAGGAAGATTTCAATTGGTCTGGGTTGTTGTTGTTGTTGTTTATATGATTTGCTCATGGTGTGTTAACTTCCCCACCTCATTCCCTCGGAGCAGGGAGAGTGGCCAGTGTGGCACAGAGGTACCCCCCCCTTCAAAGACACCTTTCTTCCACAGCCAGGTCTTGCCTGACTCTCAGCCCACGAGTTCTCCACGTGGTTGATCTGGGCCCCCAGTCAGCCTCAGTCCTTCCGTGGTAGGTGCCCTGAGGGATTCCCAATCCTCTGCTGGAAGTGCCTGGCCCCAGCATCCATTCCTGCTTCTTCCTTTGTTCTCACAGCAGCTGGACCCCTCAGGAATGACCTTCACTTCTTGTTATTCTTTGCAGGGGGGATGGGAAGAAAGGAAAGATATAATTAAGATGGACACTCCTTTCTTAAGACTCCTAAAAACAGAACATCTCTGTTCAGAACGAACTGCGTATATGAGTTTAAGGAAATGTGCCCCCCTCCCCAGATTATGCCAGCAATTCTGCACAATTTTCCAACTTCCTGACTGCTTCCCAATTTTCAGCCAAAACTTCTCCAGCGAGAATTTTCAGCTCAGTCCTGCAACTGATGGGGCTTTTAGACCACACTGAGTGGTGGTGAATCCTAAGCACCTAGTTCAGGGCAAGAAAATCACAACCCTTCCTGAAATGCGAATACCTTCTCCACCCCTGAATCAAGATTTTCTCTCGTTCAGCTGTTTTCTCTTCAACAAAGAGATCCACATTTCTAACTTCACCCACCTTACTTGATAGGTCACAGGCAACATGAATTGGACCAAGGAGGGGGGAAATGCCCCCTCAGAAAGGAAGCCACTTACTCTGAGTCTGGCGAGAGCTCGGAAATACTGTGGGATGTTGCAGAGCGAGGTGGTGAAGGGCACGGCATGGACGGTGTCGAGGAAGTCTGGGCCGCGGAAGGTGTGGGTGTGGTCTGTGGGCCTGAGGGCGTGCTGGATGATTGCACAGAGGACAGGACAGAGGAGTTAAAAGATGCTAGGATGGAAGAAAGGATATCTAATTGCTCTGTGGAGGGGTGACGGCTGGGGATGGCTTCTAGATTTTCTCTAGAAGGGAGCCTCCTGGAGAGGAGTTCAAGGTTTTCCCTGGAAGGCTGCTGTCTGGAAAGAGGCTCCAGGTTTTCCCGGGAAGCCTGCCTGCCAGGCACTATGTCCAGATGCTCTCTGGAATTAGATCTTCTGGATAAAAAGTCCAGCTGCTCTCTCGACGTCTGCCTAGCTGTTGCCAGCTGCTCCCTCAGAGGCTGCTTCCTGGAAAGCAGATCCAGCTGTTCTCGAGAAGGGTCTCGACTTGGCAGTGTGTCCGTCCGATCTCTTGAGGCTTGCCTGTTCGGCATAGTGTTTAGCCATTCCCTAGAGAACTCCCTGACTGCTCCCCCACAGTCTAGCGGTTCTCTTGACCCAAATCTACAGGGCAAAGTATCTAGATGGTCTCTAGATCCCTGCCTCCTGGGTAGGGTGTTCCCGTGATCTCTTTGATCCTGTCCAGAAGCTGCTTCTGCTACATTTTCTTGAGACCCATGCCTGCTGGGTATGCTTGCAAGGTGCTCTCTGGACCCGTGGCGGCTGAGGATCGTGTCTAGGTGCTCCCTTGACCCAGGCCTGTTCAGGATGGTGTCCAAACGCTCTCGAGAGCCGTGCCTGCTGGCAACCGCTTCGAGACACTCGCCGGAGATGTTGCGGCTCAGCTGCTCTCTGGACATCTGCCTCCTCATCAGCATGTCCAGCTGCTCCCGGGAAGAGTAGCGGCTCGCGGGCTGAGAGAGGCTGCCTGCCCCCGAATAGATCCTGCCGTAAGAAGCGGCAGGGACGGCCCGGTGGCCCAAGGTGGAGGTTTTGTACCAGGAAAGGTCATTGGCCATCCTGCCCACGGAGGGCAGGCCTTGCAAAGTCGGAGGGTACTGGAGCCGATTCTTCAGGATACCTAGACAATGTAAGCAAAGCAGAAGGTGAGAAGGATGAGACTCTCTCCCAGGGCTCTCTCTGAGAGCTTCCCATTGGCAATGCCCATCCTATCTATAGTCATCTTACTCTATCCTGTTTCCTAATAGCAGGTCACTTTTGCATTTCTGTTGATAGGAGAAAGCTTCCTTATCCTACATTTACTCTTCTCTGTAAATATCCCTCCTCTGGTGTCTCTCTTTATGACCTCTTCCTGCTGTTTCTGCTTACTTGAAGAATACCTTATCCTTTGTATGTCCACTCAACTGCTTCAGTTTGTGGAATTAGCATTTAACAAGTGATACACAATGTTGGAAGGATTCTATCCTTCATTATGGCAGAACCTACACTCTGGAAATCCCTGTCCACAGAGGCACCTTTTCTGTATTTTTGGCATATGCCAAAACCCATTGTTAATGCTACCCCAGACGTGTTCATTTGGCATGTGTTATAACATGCAATTGTATTTCATTAGGTATATTTTTAAATTGGCTATTTTATTTAAAATCTAGGCCATCTTGTTTTTAACATCTTATGTTTGCTGGTGTTTCAAATGTATATTTTATGTAAACTGCTTTGTGGCTTTGATGATTAAGCAGTATATAAATCCTCTTACGTGAAAAATAAGGAAGGTTAGTGGATGACATACTAACCACTGATAATAATACATTTACTAAATTTATTAGCCATGTGTTGTAGTTGTATTTGAGCAGATTATTCTGTATTGCGACACAGGAGTTTGTTTATACCAAGTCAGAACACTGGCCCATTTATCTCAGGATCCCCTTCTATACTGACCAGTAGTAGCTCTACCTGTTTGAGACAGGAGTTTTCCCCAGCCATTTCTGGAGACATCAGGGATCTTTCTCATTCAAAGCATGTGTTCTAACACTACACTATGCCCCTGACTTTCCCTGGACCCCAAGCTACCCAGCAAGCATCATGGATGAGTAGGGATTTGCCACTAGGCCATCTTAGAGGCCCATGTAGGCCTGGGTCACTTCCTTCTGAGCTTCTGAGCCATAATAAAGGCAGCGACAATAAAATTATGACACATGAAAACAAAACAAGGTGCTCCCCCTCCCTGGACAAAAGAAATAAAAGAAAAAGGAGCGAGACATAATCTGAATAGCTTTAACAAATTCCTATTTCTGTGCAAATGCACTCATTACAAGTACAATATATGAAAATGATGAATCAGGAAATAGAATGGAAAATTAAACAAATGAGACAAAAGACTTTTGAGTCGGCCAATAAATGTGGCAAATTGTTGGCATGGCAAATGAAAAAGAGACAAAAACTAAATACGATTACGAACTTAGAAGTGGAAGGAAGAAATATACAGAACCCTGCAGAGATCAGAAGTTGTTTCCAGAGGTACTTTAAACGATTATATAGATCTGAAAGAAACAGATCTAGACCAATTTTTGAAAGCAAATGGACTACAAAAAATATCCCAAGAAAATAAACTAATTTTGAATTATAGAATAACTGAACAGGAAATAGAAGGTGCCATTCAAAACATGCAATTGGGTAAATCTCCAGGACCAGATGGCTTGACCTCTAGATACTACAGATCTTTAAAAGAATGGTTAATTCAACCATTGAAAGAGGTCTGCAACGAAATAATGGAGGGGAAGAGAGCACCAGAGTCGTGGAAAGAAGCATATATTACACTTGTACCAAAAACAGAGACTGAAAAGACACAGCTTAAGAACTACCGCCCTATATCATTACTTAATGTGGATTACAAAATTTTTGCAGATATTTTGGCTAAGAGATTTAAAAAAGTGTTGATGGAAGAGATTCACAAAGACCAAGCGGGCTTTCTCCCAGGAAGACATTTATCTGACAATTTGAGGAATATAATTGATATCTTGGAAAAATTAGAAGTGAATATAAACACTAAAGCAGTGTTGATATTTGTAGACGCGGAGAAAGCCTTTGACAACATTTCTTGGAATTTTATGAAGAAGAATCTACAGGGTATGGGGGTAGGCCAAGGTTTTGAGAATGGTATAAGTGCAATTTATTCAGAACAAAAGGCTAAACTAATTGTAAATAATGTTGTGACGGAAGAACTTAAAATTGAAAAAGGGACACGACAAGGTTGCCCAATTTCCCCACTTCTTTTCATTTCGGTCCTGGAGGTTTTGCTGAATATGATTAGAAGGGACCAGTTGGTTAAAGGTATACAGGTCGGAACTAAACAGTACAAATTGAGAGCATTTGCAGATGACTTAGTATTGATGTTACAGGAGCCTGAATCTAGTACTAAAAGGGTTTTAGAACTGATTCAAGAATTTGGTCAATTTGGTCAAGTGGCAGGATTTAAATTGAACAAGTCAAAAACCAAGGTTTTAGAGAAAAATTTAACACCGATTGAAAGAGAGAGGTTTCAGAATGAGACAGGTTTAACAGTGGTTAAGAAAGTTTAATATTTGGGGATTAACATGACAGCTAAAAATGGGAACTTATTTAAAGATAATTATGAAAAATGCTGGTCTGAAGTGAAAAAAGATTTAGAAATTTGGTCAAATTTGAAGCTTTCACTGCTGGGCCGTATTGCTGCGATAAAAATGAATGTATTGCCTAGAATGTTGTTTCTGTTCCAAACTTTGCAGATTGTGGACAAAATGGATTGTTTCAAGAGGTGGCAGAAAGATATTTCTAAATTTGTCTGGCAGGGCAAGAAGCCCAGAATAAAATTTAAAATACTAACAGATGCAAAGGAAAGAGGTGGATTTGCCCTGCCAGACCTCAAACTTTACTATGAATCAGCAGCTGTTTGCTGGTTGAAAGATTGGCTACTTCTTGAAAACACTGACATTTTGGACTTGGAAGGTTTTAATAATGTATTTGGATGGCATGCATATCTATGGTATGATAAGGTCAAAGCACATAAAGCATTTAGAAACCACATTGTCAGGAAAGCTCTATTTAATGTTTGGTTAAGATATAAGGATTTGCTAGAAAACAAAACCCCAAGGTGGCTGTCACCAATGGAAGCGAAAGCCTTGAAAAAGGTCAATATGGAGGTCAAATGGCCGAAATATTGGGAAATTTTGGAACAAGACGGAGATAGACTGAAATTGCAGAGTTTTGAAAAACTAAAAACAAAGTGCGAGACTGGCTTCATTATTATCAGATAATGGAGGCATTTAAATTGGACAGGAAAATTGGCTTCCAGGTGGAAAGATCCAAATTAGAAACAGAATTGTTAGAACCCAAAACTAAGAATTTGTCAAGAATGTACAACTTGCTGCTGAAATGGAATACTCAGGATGAAACGGTAAAATCGGCTATGATTAAATGGGCACAGGACGTTGGACATAATATTATGTTTGCTGACTGGGAACAGTTATGGACCACAGGTATGAAATTTACGGCATGTAATGCCTTAAGAGAGAATATTATGAAAATGATATACAGATGGTACATAACCCCAGTCAAGCTTGCAAAAATCTATCACTTGCCCGATAACAAATGTTGGAAATGTAAAGAAACTGAAGGTACATTTTTTCACCTTTGGTGGACGTGCCCAAAGATTAAGGCTTTCTGGGAAGTGATATATAATGAATTAAAAAAGGTATTTAAGTATACCTTCCCTAAGAAACCAGAGGCCTTTCTCCTGGGCATAGTCGGCCAAATGGTGTTAAAAAAGGATAGAACTTTCTTTATGTATGCAACAACAGCAGCAAGAATACTCATCGCAAAGTATTGGAAGACACAAGAACTTCCCACGCTGGAGGAATAGCAGATGAAACTTATGGACTACATGGAATTGGCGGAAATGACTGGTAGAATCCGTGACCAGGGAGAAGAGTCGATGGAGGAAGATTGGAAGAAATTCAAAGACTATCTTCAGAAACACTGCAAAATTAAAGAATGTTAGAGTGATGTTGGACTGAAAATAAGCGGTTTCCAGCTGTACAGGTTAAAGTTAATGATAGACTAAGATTAAAGATTAGGATTAAAGATGTTTAAAGAAATGGAAATTTGACATTAAGAGGGAAAATTTTAACGTTATATGATACTAAGACCAAAGATCAGGTTTAAAGAAGTTGAAGTTATATATTTCAATATCTTATTAAAGCTAAAGATTGGGATTAAAAGTGGAAAAGAAATTGCTGGACAAACAATTTGGATTGGAATACAAAAGAGGGAGGTATGAGGAAGTCCAGAAAATAAGTAACTAAAAAACGGAAATGGAAAAGAGATATTGTTTTTAATTGTTATGTTTTCTGTTTTTTATTGTTGAATTTTGTTTTTTTTGTGTGTTTTTGTTATATGTATTGTGTATGTTTTTCTTTTCTTTCTTTGTTGTTCAAAACTTTAATAAAAATTATTTAAAAAAAAAAGCAAATGCACTCATTACTGAGGGAAATATGCTTTTGTGGAATTTCACAGATGATGATGATTAATTCAATTTATATACCACCCTTTATCCGAAGATCCCAGGGCGGTGTACAACATTAAAACCATAATTGACATAGCATAATAATAAAAGACAATGCAACAATCACGGGGGGGGGGGGGATTCATAATAACAGCTCTAAGCTGAGTGAGTGTGACACAATTTGATCCACTACTCATAAAAGCAGCTGTGATGCTTATAAAAAGTCAAAAAAATCAACAAGCATCTGAATGAGAAGCCCCCTTTGAGCTTGAGGCCTGGGCCACATGGCTCTCCCACATTGGCCCTGCTTGCCACTACAGCACACTGGCTGCAGTTCTGTTTCTCTTACCTTTCCGCTGCCTCTGGGTCTGGGTGAGGGAGTTCTCGTCGCCACTGGTCAAGGCCAGGTCCGGCTGGTTGTTGTTGGCAGCGTCCTTACTGGCATCGAACCCCAGTTTCCGCTCAGAGCCCCATTTCTGGAGGGAGCAGGGGTGAACTTCGCATTCGCCCAGTGCTGGCCAATAGGACATCAGGTCATTGCCATCTACATCTAGAGGGAGGACATGGCTGGTATATTACAAGGCGGACAAAGAGCATCTCAGCAGATTAATGTGAGAATTCGCCAGGGTATTTGATTATGTGCTGTGAGGAAGAATTGGTTAAGTTTTTCATCCTTTGCAGTGGATGGTGCAAAACTACTAGGGATGTGGCACATTGCCAGTTCCCCGCTGTGTAGCACCCACTGCATGCTGCTCAACTCTGGGGGCAGAGAAATAAGAAGTGCCTGGATGACACCTGTACTGAAGGTAATATACAGACCATCAGGTAACGCCCCCTTTGGGATGTTTGCAGAGATCTCAGAGTGCCTGCATGAGTTGGAAGAGATCATGCAAGAAGACTAAGACAGCAATTAAGTATTTAGGTTAATTCACATGCACAATTATTTTTCTTCTTCGCAGTGAATTAGGGCTCCTTAATCTTAAGAGGAGCTACCCACCCCACAGGCAAATCCTTGACCACTGGGCCATGTGGGCTGTGGATTATGGGAAATGGAGTCCAAGAGACCACAAGATCTACACTCCTGTCTTAAGATGTGCGTTCCATGTTTTGTAATGGGCCCCAACATGTTACACAGTGCATAGCTCAGAGCTTGTTGCCCAGCTTGGCCTGAGAGTCAAGGTGTTTCTCTGCCCAGGGGCACTTACCTTTGGGTGTGGTGTTGGAAGGGTTGGTGAGGAGCCTCTCGCTGTGTGCTGCCCTTTTGAACTGGCGCTGGAACCTGCCGCGGAGATGCACGTTTTCCTCGCTCTCTGATGATGGAATCGAGAGGCTGCGCTCTTCGTCAAGAGAGAGGTCGCTGTCCGAGTCAGAGTCTTGATCTGCAGGGAGATACGTAACACATGTGAAGAAGGTGGGGTTGAGGGAACAGCTTTTCAAGTGATGGCTAATAGCTTTCCAGTACATAAACTGCCCTCTCCTGAGCAAGCTGAAGTTATGAACTCTGCCAAACTGGAACAGTGGGTTGGTCTAGCGGCACATACCATGTCACTGGTTCAAAGCCTCTAAAGGACAAAACATTAGAATGGTGGTTCCCAAATGTTTTGGGGCCACTGTCAGGGACTGGTTGGATGCAGAGGAATTGTGGGAAGAACCAGCTGAGGAACCCCGAAGGGAAGAAGGCTCAGAGCCCAGGAAGTGGCAGTGGGACAATGATGAGAGGTCAGAGGGAGAAGACCAGGAGGAGGAGGTATTGGAAGCTGAAGGGACAACAGGGCTGTGTGAGCTGGGAGAGTCTGTGTCAGACAGCAGTCCAGGATCAGAGGCAGAAGCTGAGGCAGGAGAAGAGGGAAGCTAAGAGGCAGAGATGAGTCAGGCTGGTGAAGAGTCACAAGTGTCTCCCCCTCCTGCTGTGACAAGATCCCACCCACTGGTCACCCAGAACTAGAAGAGGCATGAAAATATCAGAGAAGTTAGTTTTGCACAGGCGCAGTCTCAGATTGCTAAGGAAAAATCCTGGAGGGGAGGGAACTTGCTACTTCTTCCCTTCCCTAGAAAAGTCTGCTCACTTAGTCACTTGCCCTTGTTGCAGGCCTGGTCAGTGCTCAGTATATATAAAGATATGTCAAGATGACATACAGCATTGGAAGATTTCTTTTTAATTTGGGATCTGGAGACACCCTTTCATCTTTGACAGCCACAGACTTCCCCATCAGAAGCAGGCTCCTGGATTTTGGCCTTACCTGGTCCTGCATCACGATGAAACATTGCTATGTCAAGGTCTGTTGGACCAGCATGGTTGAGCAAGTTGTTATCCAGAGCAGAGCCTTGATGCGCCATCATGTTCTCTCTGAAACTCGTAAGAGAGAAATACTCAGAACTCTCGCCTGTCTCTTCAAGTGAGAGGTCAGAAATCAACGTTGGGAAATGCACAGTGGTAAAAAGGTTTGTTAGACAGGCCTAGTCCATGGACACCTATCATAGGGTGGAATTCAACATAGTGCTAAGCAGATTGTTCTGTCAACGCAAGCATTTCCACATGCCTGATGGAACGAACTCCCCTCTCCTGTCCCACGTGCTGTTCTGGGAGTTCTCTCAATGCTTCAGAGCAAATCCTTGTGTAGTAGGGAGGAAAATTGGGGAAAGCGCCACTGGGCTAGTGGGATTCCTTGCACTAGCTTCTGCTAGCAGAACTGATTAAGAATCATAGAACTGTAGAGTTGGGAAGGGACCCCGAGGTCCAACCCCCTGCAATGCAGGAATTAGTTGAATCCGGCCCATAGTAAAAGTATAGTCCATGAGCTCTGTTGCTGGGTTTTTAAAAATATTATTATTATTACGAGCTCTCTTCTTCTGGGAATCTCTTTCCTGCATCAAGAGAGAAATGTGGAGGTGAGCGGTGTCTTTTTGAGGGATGAGAGGGAAAGAACCATTCTGATCTGCATTGCCATTCCATTTGCTTTCATACCTAGCCTCGCAAACAGAGGAACCGCAATTAAGTCCCGGGGGCTGCTTTGGTCTCCAGTGGAAAGACTACCCTTCTCAGCATGCAAGTGCCTACAGCTGGGGGTGGTGCTGGGGGTGGGCAGGACAGAGACTCATCCCTGCTGCTGCTGCTTACCTGAGGTATCCCCGCTGGCTGGAATGGGTCCGAGCTGAGCGCACACTGCTGACAGAAGAGATGGTGGAGGCTCCCAGGGTGATACGGATGAGGCCGCTTTCCTCAAAGAGCGCCGTGTTGTTGTAGGCATTGGGACCCTGCAGTGGGAGAGTGGGGGGGAAACACACACCACAGAGTAGCCTCTCTAGGAAGATGCCTGAGGTGCTTCCATGCCAGCCTGTCAAAACTGGCCTGCCCAAGAGTGGTTCAGTTCTGGATTTGACCTTCAGACTGGAAAAGGCTCCCCTTGCCCTGGATACACTAAAAGGACTATTTCTTTTAGACGTAATGCGGGCAGTAGGAGGAAGGCCTGAACCCCTTCAAGGATGCATGCCTGGGATAGGCCAGGGGACTACAAGGCAGTCCTCCTGCACTTTTTGATCAAAGTGTTAAGGTCTCTTTCAGGAGAGGACAGTATCCTAGGCTTTGGATGGAGCAAGTTATCCTCCCATCTCCCTTAACCCAACAAGTAAGATCAAACGCAGCTCCCACCTGACCGCTTCTGGTGGATTCCTCGCCCTGACCCTTCTTGCCAAGGCAGGCTAGTTTCCAGGCTTCCTGTACCTCCTTGTTCAGCACACAGAACAGAATCAGTACTGCCAAGCCCTGTGGGGGGGGGGGATAGGGAAGAGGGGCTGTGAATCTGAAACTTAGAAATTGTGTTACGCTGTGTCAGGCCATTGGCATTCTGACTAGAAGCAGCTTTCCAGATTTCAGGCAGCTGTACCTGGAGATGCCAGGGGCTGAAGAGGAATCTTCTGTACGCAGCACATATGCTCTGCCACTGGCCTATGCGCATTTACTGAATCTGAGCCGCAAATGCCATTTACGAGTCACCAAAGATGGACCAGGAAAGTGGGGTGCGTACCATCCACTTGTCCTGTCTTGCATGGCATATAGCAATCCAAATTCTTCCTCTGTGTTACGGAACATGCACAAAACCACTACTACATAAATGCTGAGTGTTAATGATCTAATTACCAGAATGACTACATTAGCTTTCCGCTAGAGGGAGCAATTAGTCTCTATGTGAGCTCAAAGATAGGAAAACTCTACATAGAAGCAGGCAAATATGAATCATCATATAATCTAAACATAAACTACAGGAAGCTCTGTGAGTATAGAGATCTAACAAGACTACAGCAAATCAGAAGTACTGAAATAAGCATACAGCCACCACCGGGTATCTCAAAATGTCTGCAAAGTCACACGATATTTAATCTGCCTTTAAGTAATATTTTGCAAGAATCTTAGCAAGTGAATTCCAGGGTGGTGGTAGACTAATTTCTGTCCCCCCTCTATATGTTTCACTCATTAATTCCTTGCTTCCTATTTAATTTTTTTCATGCAAATGCCTTTTGTAAAAGCTTTAATGTATGTACAGTACTTGAAAATAGGGATGTGCAAATCTGGTCAATTTTGTATTCTCTGTTTTTGACCGCCACCAGTCTTAAATTCAGTTTGCTGCATTTTCAGTTTGCAATGTGTTTTAAGGAAAATTCCTCATGTGCATTTTGTACCATGTATTTTGCTTGGAGAAATCCATGGCAAAATTTGGAAACAGCATGCATTGTTTTGGAAAATGTGAATTAGGTAGGTTCATATTAAAAGACAAAATGTCTTGCTTCTGGACTGGAAGGGCTGCCATCATGCATTGCTTGGTATGTTAATCACCACACACTTGCTGGCTGATATATCGCCACTTACAAAGCATGTGCAGTTTACAACAAATGTGCCAGATGCGTTTGCAATTTATTTAGATCTGCACACCCTCAAACGTAATGTAATGGAGCAATCACACCAGATTGGCGCATGTGACTTGATCCAGAGAAATTTGCAACCAGTTCTGTGAGTGAAGAAGGTGTAGACTTTGACACCCAAACCACATGTGGTTCGTTTGGGGGAACTGGTGATAATTAGTTATGTTCTGCAGGATTGCTCCCACCAGAAGCCACTATCCTCTTCGTCTGCTCCACCATATCCTGATTCCTGCCTAACCATCTCTATCCTAGCGCAGAGAGTTACCTGAAGGCTGCAGAGGACAGTGTAGAGGTAGTGGAAAGCCAGGACACTGTTGTTGACAGCCAAGAGGCCAAAGAGCCAAGCAGTGCTAATAACTAGAAGCAGAACGAAGGAGCTTCGCAGCGTCATACTGGAGAGAGAGAGAGAGAGAGAGAGACGGAGAGAAAGAGCCATCCAGAAGGACAGACGCAGAGGTTAGAATCTGTGGCTGAACTGCAGGGCAAGAGACACTAAGGAGGGTCACAAACCCATTTCTACACAATCCAGCCACACCCATAAAATGCTCTGGGAACAGGCTCCCAAGAGGGCAACTCTTTACTGCTGAGGGCGCAGGGTGTTTCCCTAACTCACAAAACAAGTGACAGCGGCCAATACTAGCTGAGTACTGACAAAACTCACCACTCCTGCCTCAAGCAATTTCAGTTGTGGAGGAGGCAGACAATCCAGATGACATTTAGAAGGAGAGCATCTCAAGGCAGAGTGACAGAAAAGTGGAAGGACACTTATGGGGAATGGAAAAGTGATGCTCAGGCACTATAGAGCACGTTTCTGTCTGAGCAGATCATTGTGATAAGTTAATACTCACAGAACCGATTTCTTCTTGGCTTCCTTCTGGCCTGGTGAGCACAGCATCTTTGCAACCAGCAGAAACATCACCCCATTCATCTGGAAGCAGACTGGCTAGTTAGGAACAGGCACTCAAGGGGAAAGCTCTGTTTTGTTTTATATTTATTGTCTATATCCCACCCTTCCTCACTTTCATGATCCTGCTTGTCAACACTGCCCACACTGTCTTTGAGGACGCTGTATTTGGTGTGCATTGCACAGCTGGCTTCATTAGACTCTGCAAAAGAAATGCTTTGTCTCCCCTCTTCTGACTCCTCTTCCGATTCATGGGACAGGGCAAAAGAGGAGAAGATCGCCAAGGATGGGGTCACAATGCTTAAAGGCTCACAAGCCCCCAGAGTCATAAACTGCGGAAAAGTACATGAAAGTTGAGCTGGATCAGGCCAGGAGCCCATCTGTGTCCAGCATCCCCAAACAGATGCCCACAGGAAACTTGCAAGAAGGACTTGAGCGCCAGAGCACTCTCCTCCCCTGAGGTTTCCAGCAACTGGAATGCAGAAGCATATTGCCTCTTACACTGGAGCAACAGCTGGCACCAGTGATAGCCTTGTCCTCCATGAATCTGTCTAATCCTCTTTTAAAGCCATCCAAGTTGGTAGCCATTACTGCCTCCTGTGAGAGCCAATTCCATACTTTAACTATGTGCTCTGGGAAGAACTACTTTCTTTTGTCTGTCCTGAATCATTCAACATTCAGCTTTATTGAATGTCTGCAAGTTCTAGTCTTTTAAGAGAGAGAGAGAGAGAGAGAGAGAGAGAGAGAGAGAGAGAGAGAGAACTTTTCTCTGTCCACTTTCTCCATACTGTACATTATTTTATTCACTTGTATTATGTCACATATTTCTAGAGACTGGACAGAAATGATAAAATAAGAATGAAGGGCCAAACTGGGGGGGGGGGGCAGGGGGAGAGGAGAGAGAAGAAAAATAAGTGCAACACTAAACATTAATGACAGGAAAAGGAAGCAGAGGTACAGCAGAACAGGGACCAAATATGCTGAACAAGGAAACGGAAAGGCTACAGCATCCTGGCAAAGAGACTGAACAAATGTGAGAAGTGCTTACCACAATCACAACAGCAATGGGCCCTGCAAAACTCCAGATCAGTTTATCATGGATGGAAATCCAGCAGAAATCTGGATTCCCAAAGCCCTCTGGATCTAAGCCAACAGATAATCCTGTCCAAAAGGAAGGAAGAAGGTCAGCTGAACAATGTATTATGTTCTACATTCCTAGTCAATATACTTTCCACATCCTTGTAGGTCAATGTAAACCTGCTTCCTCTGTTCTCCTTTGATCTCCTAAGCTTCTGATGCAATCATGAACAGGAATGCTACAAACAGAACTCTCCAGTGGTCTTGCTTCTGAAAAAGCTTTTATACCCCAGGAGGCTCATTTCTATGACAGAGCCTCTGATCTGTGAGACTTGCTGCTGACTAGCCACACAAAAGAAGACCTGAAGTCTTGGCTCCCCAGAGACATAGGCTTATGACTGACACAAGCAGTTACCCACAGCATTTCAGCTGAGCAACGGCTGTGGGAACTGGGGCGATCCACACTGCAATGCCTGCAGCTTATGCATAACGTCTTGGTCACATGGCATCGCAGAAAAGGCACGGTTTGAAGCACTACTGTAGGTTTGTTCCAAACTAAGCATGTTCTGCATATCAATTGCCAGGATACATTTCTTTCTAGAGGCTGAGAGAGAGAGGGAAAAAGGAAACCCTCACTTCCTAAACACATCTGCACTTACCAGTGATTATAGCAGGGACACCCCAGCCAATGGCATAGTAGAACCTCATAGCTCCATAGTTGATGTTGCGGGCCTCCGTCTGCATGCGGTAGATGTGGAGGCCTTGCACAAAAAGCCAAGCAAAAGTCGAGAGGAAGAAGTAGTGCAGCAAGATGGCAATCACAGTGCAGAAGAACTGAAACAAGCAAGAGCACCACAATTCAAAGGCGTCCTCTAAAATAGCGTGAGTAGCTTGCCCCTGATCTGAAACTAACATTGTACAACATTTCCCTCTATTGCTTCAGGAGTCCAAGACATTTTGTGGCCTAAGGCAAAGCACAAGATGCCTCCTCCAAAATTCCATATGCAGCAGCTGACAGGTTTGGCAGCTGAATCTTATTTCAGTACTGGCAGTGGGACAGTGTCCTAGACTAAGAGCAGCAGTCTTAGTTGGGGGGTGCAGACTGTGTGGCACACATAGCTCAAAACCTCCAAACATGCTGAACCTAGGACTTGCCTCTTGCTCCTTCTCCTCTCACCTGGTTTTCAGTGCGGTTGATACCCAAGAGGAAGAGCAGCTCAGAGAAGAAGAGGGTGACCGAGATGTTGCAGTGGATTCCCCGTGTGTTGGACTTGAGACCTTTCAGGCATATCAGGAAGGAGAAGGCCAGCAGCAAGAACAGAAGGGAGAGGGACACCAAGGAATAGGTCACAATGGCCAAAGTCTCCAGGTCACCTTCCAGTTGCTGCAAGGAGAAACCAAAGGCAAAAGGAGAAGTCAGAGAGGAAGCACACAGTAACCTGATGGGCATGTTAACACCAAGCCATGTTTTATTAACCATGGTTTACTAAACGCCAACAACACTCTTGTGGCTCCATGGTGTTTCCTTGCCAGCCACTCCTGGAAATTAGACCTCCCACTCATTCCCTGCTTTATACATTGTACATGAGTAAACAAACATGGCTGTCTCTGACTCATCTAGTTTGGTCTTCAGCGATACCAAGGCCCACTGTTTTGCTTTTTATCTCTGGCCTCTCTGATCACACCTCACTTATCACTTTCTAGGTCTTGCTGTGACCTTGTCATCAGAATTACCTCTCGGTGGGAGCTGTCCATCAGGACCCCAAAAGTGCCAAACTGTGAGCAATGGCAGCGAACATGCGTGGCGTTTCGATAAACAAGATCACAGTCCCGTGCTGTCCAGAAGCCAGTGGGCTCAATCCTGCAGTCACAAAGAAATCCAAAAAGAGAGGCTTCAAAGGAAAGAGTCTTCAAGGGGACATTTTCTTTTAGAGGCAGGCATGAGGATACTCACTGAGGATCTATGAATTATGCTTGAATTATCGACCTTTTCGGGTTGGACTCAGGTCCATTGATTTTAATGCATTTTCTCTGAGTATAACTAATAATAGCTATCACCCTATATCTTTAAGTTACTATGGAGGGTGCCTGTGAATGGAATTCAGCAGACTGAGGTGAACAGTCCATCAATGCAAGGATTTCTTTTTGTGCCGTGGAATCTACCCCCACCTCTTGCCGGCACACACACCCTAAATCTTTTCTAGGGATTCTCCCCAATGTTCTGGAGCAGATTTGGGGATGGCGCAGGGTATGTGCAGGGGGAGGAATGCCTAACTGTGAAAGCTGAAGCTGTTCCACATGCACAATTATTTACTTGAAGACCGCTAATTGTATTTATGCTTTTAATAATTTTTATGCCCATCATGAAATCCATTGGGCAAAGGGTGGCTTAGAAGCATTTCAAATGAATAGAATAATGTCAAGGGCCTCCCTCAAAGTAAAAAAGGAAGCGAAGGATGGCTCCCTGGGAAAGAGGCAGCAAAGCAACTTACTGGCTGGAGTGATTCCACTGGACACAGAGGGGCTTGCTGCGGTTGGCTGTCTCCAGCAGGCGGAATTCTAGCACTAACGGGGTCGCCAAAGTGCTCTGGAGGAAAGTGTGGTTGCTGAAGACAGACACACTCACTATGGGGGAGTTCATAACAGGGTTTTTGGGGAGCCTGCAAAGAACAAAGGCAACTTGTTACTTGATGCCACCTGGCAACACCACTGCACCCAGACTGGTCCATGCAACGGGAGAGTGGGCTACTGCTGACCAATCCTCGACAAACTGTTTATGGTCCATTCAAGTCGGAGTCGTAGGACTTGAGATGGTAGCAAAGAGCCTAGAAGAGGAGTAAGCAATGAGTGGTACCTGAGATTGCGCCGATCCACCTGGTAGCGGGCAGGAAGAAGTCCTCCTAGAGTACGGTAAATTATGAGGATGAGGATGGTTACAGCAGGCTCAGGTTCCGGCAGGAAGTGCTTGGGAGGGGAGGTTTCCACAGTGTCATTGGTTTCACTGTTTACCAGTGTCAGTGCTGCTGTGCTGGGAGCTGGAGCTGGGAAGGCAGAACAGGAAGGAACCAATGGTATGCACCATTTTGAGGCAGGACAGAAGAGGAGAGAGGTGCCTAGCGTTGTGGTGGTATCATCTCTCATGTTCTTATACTTTGACTGAGCTGAGCCCATTGAGCCCAACGGGCCAATCCTTTGCTGCAGAAGGAAATTCCTCCCCCTTCAACACAGGGGTAGGGAACCTATTTGGCCCAGCAGGCCAGATATTTATCTCCCTCTAACCCCAGGAGTGAATTCTTGACAGATGGGCGAGATCACACACCTGTCAATCATCTGACATCATAGTGACACCAAGTGATTGACTGGTGGGTGGTCCTGACCACTTGTCAAAGTCAACCAGTGGGGTGGGCACGGGGTGATAGTGACCAAGCAGCATTGAAACCCCCCAACCAATCACCTGATGGGCAGAGGGTTCAAGTCTGCTTTCTTCAGGCATTGACCATCAAACCCTCCCATCTGCCAATATCATCCACCCATTGAGCAGAGGTAATCTGATTAACAAGGTGTGGTTTCACAAAAACGGCAACATGGGCCAAATTGGAATCCCTGGTGGGCCAAGTTCAGCCCATGGGCTAAAGGTTCCCCACCCCTGGTCCCAGAGAAGAGCTGTCTTTTTGTTGCTCAGAAGGTGCTGCTCCCCATCAGAAACTTCTCCTGGGTCTTTCTCTCATGGGAAGCAAAGGTCTTCTTCTGTTACAAAGCCAACTGATCATAAACTTCTAACAATGCTTCAAGTAAATTAAACAGCCCTTCTCCAAGGCTCCAAAAGAAGAATGGGAAGCTCTCTGAGACATCCATGAGACATCCATGAGACATCTGTGTGCATTTTGCTCTTTCCCCAGAGCACTGCCCACAGGAACATAAATGGGTGCCCAGTGCAACCTGAATGAAGCATGCTGGGAAGGAGGCAATCACTTCTTGGTTACCTTGATTACCTTGCTCTGGGCCTGGTGGAGCTCAGTCACTTACCTTCCACTTTGTGGGGTGTAAGGACTGAGAGGGGAAGCACGACGTGGGTGTGTGGGTCCCACATGACCTGGCCACGGAAGAGGGTGCTGTGATATCGGGGGTAACGCCTCCTGAAGTGGGTGTGGTTCTCCATGCGGTCAATGCTGAGCACTGCATAGAGAGGGAGGGAGAGAGAGAGAGAGAGAGAGAGAGAGAGAGAGAGAGAGAGAGAGAGGAGCAGATACGAGGTCTCTGAGTTGGCCTATCTGAGTGAATGATGAGAAATGAAAAGGGCCCCTTGGCCAGAGAGATGCTTCCAGCTTCGATGGAAAAACATGCATAAGGATCAAGTAAGGCACAAATATGCTGGTTTATGTTTACTGGTGGAGCATGTTTGATGCTCTCAGAGCTACTTTCCACAGTGGTTTCTAGTAAATAGATGTACACGGGCAATGTGGTCATAGGCATCTGTTTGTTAAGAGAAGGCCTGCTTTGGGAGGTTTCCTGCCCAACTGCAGAAAACATACCTGTATTACTTCTGCATGCATGAGGAGTGAAGCACCTACATGGGACGAAGCCAATGGCTTGCCAACACTTGCCCACAAAACTTAAAAGGAACAGTGTAAGGCAGGCCAAGAAATGCATTCACACCTGACCTCCCACTGGTGTGGCATTCTAGCACTCCACTCCACCTGTGCTGCCTTGCCCCCATGATTGAGCCTGTGCTACTCCAGCTTCTACCCCAGAAACCCAATGCATCCTCAGCAAGCCCATGGCTGCCTGCAAGTCAGGAGTTCACAGATGGTGGCACAGATCATATAGATCTTCAGGGTGGTCAGTGAGCTGCTTGCGGCCTTCCAGCAACACCTCCCCTCCCCACGCAGTGCTTCTACTTACCAATATTGGGGGTCACCACGCCAACAGGGTTGAGGTAGGTGAGTTTCATGTTGCTGGCCAGTGTGCCCGTGTACTCTCTCAGCTGTTCCATCAGTCCTGCGCTGCTGTGGTCGTTCTGCAACAATGCTTCCCAGTGCTCTTGGTTATCTAAGGCCAGCACCGAGCTGCCGGCCCGCAGCAGGTTCTACAGGGCAAAGATCAGAGGTGGAACATCAGAGGATGTAGAAATACTCCTCGCACAATGGGCTGCATCCCACTCAGTGCTACTTAGAATAGACACAAAGAAATTAATGATCCAAAGCAAGTCATGTCTATTAATTTCAGCAGATCTGCTCTGAATAGGACTCGCGTGGGACACAACAACACTGTCTTTTAGAAGGCTGCAGTTTCCAGAACTATTTGGCTTTTAAATCATTTATTTCATTTGTAGCCCACCTTTCTTCCACGATGGAGCCCAGGGGAGCATACATTGGTTCCCAAGCAATCTCCCATCCAGGCGCTGACCAGATGGGAAAAGGCTGTATCTCGTGGCTGAGCACGTATTTTTAATGCAGATGGTCTCAGGTTTAATCCCTGACATCTCAATCTTAAACTGGATGGGTACATGGATCTTTTAGGTGGGAGGCTAATCACAGAAGAAAGATAATAAACTGCCTTTTCAAATCAGGCACTTCTTCTTGTCTAGACACCTGCCTCAATAATCTATTAGAGGCGACTTGTTTTGAGGCTTTTGGAAACTGCAGACAGTAGGTGCAAGAGGCTTTATTTCAGAATTATGCAAGTGTTGTATAAGGTGGATTTGGGGTGGAGGGAAGACCCGGGTAAAGAGGGGGCAGTGGAGGGATGGCTGGATATTTGAAGAGCAAATGCTTCTAATCAGAGTCTTTTCCTATAAGCCCGTGAGCAGATGGGTATACCACACAGGAACCAATTAAAAGTATGTGTAGAAAGGGCAATGGGAAACGTGGGAAAGGTTGCGAAGAAAATAAGGAGATTATTTTCTCATGTGGCAGTCGTGCAAATAAATAAAACAGCGCAAAGGAAAGGGGGGTTTGGATAAAACGAAACAGGTGAGAATAAATAAAGGGCCTCTAGATTCACAAGTTATCCCGTTGAAATGGTTGTTTGAAAGAAACATTGCTGCTGTGAGAAAATGCTCGCAGATAAGGTGCACACAGTGAAAAGAAAGAAAAAGAGCACTTGTGGAAACTTGGCACTTTGCTCCAAAACTCCTAATGACCACCCCCAATGGCTTCATATAGATGCTAAATAACACTGGGGACAAAATGGTGCCCTCTGGAATCTCTGTGCTGCGGGTACAAAGAGCATTCCCCAATGTTACCCCCTGGACTTGAACATGCTGGTGGAAGAGGAACCACTGTAGTACTCAGATACCTACCCCAGAAGTTGATGCAGGAGGGCACCATGGTGAAGGGTATCAAAGGCAATAACATAATGCAATAACATTGAGGAAGCATTGTAGTATAACCAATGAAGCAGAATGGGGAAGTCCAGTGTAACTCCATCCTAGTATATACACCTCACTTGGCTGGAGTTTCTGCACTGCAAAATTTGCACTAGTACGAATTTCAGTTTGTGTATTGATTTGGAAAGTGCTGATTAGGTATATTCCCCTTGAAATGCAAACTGAATCAAATTGCTCCCCCCATCCTTACCTACAGCTAAGCCATCTTTGCTGAAGACATTTTAAATATCTTAAATCATTTTTATTGTAAACTGCCCAATCTAGAGATATAGTAAGTAAACAAATAAGCAAGCCCTGTAGCATGAGTGAAGCAGGTAGGAAATGTCCTGTTATGTTTTGTGTTTCTTTGGCAGCATCTTCTGTGATCAGCTTCTTAGAGAAAAGCATCTAAGCCCTGCGACTCCCCCTGCCACCCACTTCCTTGAGGATTCTACCTGCCAGTAGGACGGGCGAGCAGCTTCCTTGCGGCCTACATCCCCCTCCATCCATGTTCCTAGCATGCTCAGTAACCAGAAAAAGTCCTCTCACCTCATTGAAGTGGGCATCCTGGGTGGCTGTCAGGCCAAAGCCCTGCTGCCTGCTCTCAAACGCCATCAGGTGGGACAAAAGGCGATAGGTGATGTGAACGTCATTGCCGAAGTAGCGCTCCATCTGATCGGTCACTGCCCGCAGTTGGTGGGCCAGCTTCTTGGCTTCTATGGTGTTCAGTTCCGTCTCGTTCCTTTCCAGACCTTCCAGCTACCAACACAGAAAATAAGGGAGGTGGGTGTGTGGGGGACCATGCAGTGCCTCTAGGAACTGAAACATAGCTCCTGTTTTTAAAGAGATACAAATCACACAGAGAGGAAAGGGGCTTCTTATGATGTTGCTGATGAAGTGGTGGGGATTAGGGACCACTGGAAACCGTGAAACAGAACTAGCTAGAGGTGAAACTGCTACTGTGTTCATGACCAAATTCTAGCATTTACTGTGTCAACAAGGGAATGAGAGAAGAGAAACATCTAGTTAACAGATGGTTCTGATATTAAATCCTCTGGGGGGAAAGGAAGCAGAAAGACAGAGAGAGAGGATTTTATGGTAAAGCAATAAAAAAGGTAAAGGTAAAGGACCCCTGGACGGTTAGGTCCAGTCAAAGGCGACTATGGGGTTGTGGTGCTCATCTCACTTTCAGGCCAAGGGATCCGGCGTTTGTCCACAGACAGCTTTCTGGGTCAAGTGGCCAGCATGACTAAACTGCTTCTGGCGTAATGGAACACTGTGACAGAAACCAGAGCGCATGGAAACACCATATACCTTCTAACCACAGCGGTTCCTATTTATCTACTTGCACTGGTGTGCTTTCGAACTGCTAGGTTGGCAGGAGCTGGGAAAGAGCAATGGGAGCTCACCCCGTCATGGGGATTCGAACCACCAACCTTCCGATTGGCAAGCCCAAGAGGCTCAGTGGTTTAGATCACAGCGCCACCGGCGTCCCTATCTCTTAATAATATATAACCCTTAACACTTGCCAACATATGTCCTCACATTTCTGTACTTTATCCCCACCCTCACCCTGCTTTTCTCTATGAAAGAGCCATATGGATCTTAGGTAAAACTACCTATGCTAAATTTCTTTACCAAGCCTGGTGTATATGATGTCATGTAAGCAGGATGCATATAGGCATTTGTTTCTATAGAGTGATGGGAGCAGATTCCCTCTTATTGATAGGGTGGTAGAAGCATCTAAGTATTTGGCTAATGGTATAACAATGGAGGCAGGAGTCTCACTGCAGAGAGATGGGGTGGGCAGAAGCTGCTCATTCTGCTTTCCTAACATTCAATTAGCTGTCTCTTCTAATTCCAGGCAACTCAACTGAGTGGTGATTGATCTGACTGGATGGCACACAGTTTATGGCCTAGTCAGTTTCAGCCCTAAGGGGAAGTTCTGCACTTTGAATGCCCTCAATGGGCTACTTAATTTAGTCAGACCTCAGCATCCTTTATGCTTTAGAAGTTATTGCTGTACAAGCCGCTGCTTGCACTGTCACCTTTGCTGTGGGTCAGCAGAATCAAACCAACAGTTTCGGTGCAGGCTTTTTGCAGGAACGAGTTCAGAGTCATTGCACAAAACAGGCCAGGAAAGTTTGAAAACCACTGTTTTAGCATAAACGTAGGCATAACACTTGGGAGAGAAGCCATGCAGTGCTGACAACATTCATTCTGAAGCAGGTTGTATGTGTGCAGCCCATAACACAGATTATCTGCTGTGCAGACATACTAGGGCAGTCAGCGTAGGCTTTGCACAGATACTGTGTTGCTTATGCAACTCAGAAATACCACAACTGTGAGCCAAGCAAAGCCCACCCAGACAGGAGACAGACAGACAGAGAGGGTTACCAATGCTGAGAGCTCCTTAAAGGCAGGTGATGTGCAGTTGAAGAGATCGGGTTCCAACCAGCCTCTTTCCTCATCGCAGTGCCGAACTGCTGCACCTAAGAGAAGGAAGAATGCCTAAGTTAATAAATGTGTGACTGAGGAGGACATTCCCTGCTGTTGCTGCTGCCTCCCACTAAGAGATTGTCAGGGCAACAGCATCAGGCCAGGTCAGGCTCACTGAACGAAGCACTGGCAATACCACCAACACAGAACACCAGCATCAGTGAGGGAACAGATTCAGAGGAGGCTGCACAGACCCTACATTAGCATCTATGAACCCTTTGCTAAGGTCACCACCCTGATTTTACATTCACAAATTTGAATTTTGTGAGAGCCCCCCCCCCCAATGCTGGGGTTAATTGTTTTCAAGCTGGGCCTGGGAGAACTCATCAGTCGCAGATTCTCTGTCATGCATCTAGCACATCACATGATATTTCAGTTATCCCATGAATGGACAGATAAAAGCTTTTGAAGAAGAGGGGTAAATATTATGTTGTGCAAACTCTTATCAAGCTCAAAAACAATTTCTGATTTGTAAGACTTTCTGGACTACCGTAAGAGTCACTTGAGACGACTCCACAAAGAAGGATCAATGCACAGCTACAGCAAATCAGAACTGATGTAGAATTAAAATTTCATTGGTCAAGCTAACATAGCTCATTATCAGCCTCTGGCTGAATGCGGTCTTTTCTATTTTTTTGCCTTGTGCACTCCTGAGAATGAACCATCTCTCACTGTACGCCCACAGAGCCGATCAAACGAGGGGAGGAAGTTTTGAATCATGATAATGATTTGTCAAGTGCTACTGGGAGGGACAACTGCTCTCCAAACCGAGATTGCAATTTTTTGTTTTATTTTTTTTAAAAAGAAAACTGGGCTAGTTCTCATACAGACATCCAGCAAGTTTGACCAACTAGTTGTATGGGACTTTAGCATGACTAGGTTTCTCTGGATTGGGGCAAGATTTTATTCCCTTATCAATTATGTTTGCAGAACTGATGCTTCTTTGACAGTGACACATTTGATAAGGAAAATTGGGGAGGACTCTAGAGGGTAGGAGGCATGTACAAACATAGGGAGAAGGAAGGAAGAGATGAGGATCTGAGTGAAGTATGAAAGATCCACACCCAGGACAAGTGGGGGTGGGGACCCCTCGCTAAACCTCTTTTGGGAAAAGGCAACAGCTCAGTGGTAGGACATCTGCTTTGCATGCAGAGGATTTCAAGTTCAATTCCCAGCATTGCCAGGTAGAGCCGAGAGATTCCCCTGTCTGAAATCCTGGGGAGCTGCTTCCTGTCAGTGCAGACAACACTGAGCTAGATAGGCCAAAGGTTAGACTCAGAGCAAGGCAGTTTTCTATGTTCCTCTTAGATTATGAGTGACAGCCAGATCAGATGTTACAGGCAATTGTCTAATTTGGAGAGACAAAAACGGAAGATGACGGAAGAGGCTACATGGACAATTTGGAGCAGAAAAATGCCATCTTTCCTCCACTGTTTCTCCACTCCACATCACCTCCTCCACATCACAAGCCATTTTTCAGAGGGGAGGAGAGGTATGTTTGGGGCAAAGCACACATGTTTGCACATAACGTTTGGCTTAGCCCCGACACGCCACCTGCATGTTTTCAATTTTTCTGCAACCCAAAGGGCTAAAGACTTGGACGTTTCAAGTCAAAGAAATGTGACAGTCCCAAATTGTGTTTAAGTCACAGAACACTGCACTGGAGCGCAAGGTCCCACCATTTGTGGCACCAATCACAGCCATGCAGCTTTCTAGAACACTTGAATTGTCACCAGCATCACAAAAAGCCAGAAGGCCCACACTACCAATATCTATACAGAAGTGATATAGATATCTAGTGGGAGCATTAAGGGCGTCTTAATGCTCCCACTAGATATCTATATCACTTCTGTATAGATATTGGTAGTGATATTGTGATATTCCATATCACAAACAGCACTGACACCATTATCAGCATGACCTGCGCCATCTGCCATCCTCACCGGTGGCACTAGAAGTGTGTTCAGCAATGACCTGAATGGGAAAGACATCAGCAAAGTAACAACAGCTGTGATCTCTAATAGTTCAAAAGCATGGCAGGTGAATCTGTCATCTTTGCTGCTTTACAAATGGGGAGGGGAAATGAAGTTATGGCAGGGCCAGGATTACATAAATCAATGCTGGAGGCAAACAAATGCTGCTCCTTAGCAAGTATATCTGAGCTGAGATCTCCTGTGTTGAATAGAGTGTCCACAGTCCAGTCAACTGAGATGCCCCAGGCAGTTGCTAAAGCTTCCACAGTGGAAGGCTACCCATTCTGCTAGCTCAAGTTTCTAGGCTCAATCCTCCACACTTTTTGTTAAACGCTGTCAGGGAGAAAGTCTGGGAAAGTCCTTTTGAAGGGCTAGGATATCATGAGCCCTGCAGATCTATGTTGCTCAGCTGGTCCAGCGGTCCAGAATTACAGCGATGAATGTCTGGCCCTTGTGCCAGTCCCCAGCCCCTTCACAGAGCAGTGTAAAAAAACTACCTGTAAAAAACTGAGGGGAAGCATCAAGGAAAAGGTTTGAGCAGTTAATCATGCAAGGCTCTTGAGGTTAAACAACAATAGCAAGAAAGTTGGCCTGCCTGAAGCACAAGAACTAGAATCCAAAGATTGTACATGTGGTGTTACAAGGTGGGGTAGAAACTGAGCTTACTCCACAGTAGAAAATGTTGCACGTGAAGATAAGTCTGCATGCAGCCAACCCTCTTATTGCACAATTCAATGCCCTTCTTTCCTTTTTATTAGAAAGTGGCACCCTGGGCTGCTTTTGGAGATGTGCACCTAAGACATTTAAGCAGACACAGATGGAGGCTGGTGCCCATTGGGATGGATAGGGTGGAAAGCAAGGAGGCAACACTACAGGGAACCACAGCCAATGAAAGATGGAGTCTGCTCTGATTTTGTCCCTATCATCCTCCACCTTGCTGAATTCTACAAGAGCAAAACTGAGACTAAGGAGGAGCATGCTGACAGCCAGTGCCACCACCTAAACTAGTTGTAAGTAAGGAGGCAAGTACGTGGGGGCTGGCTAAGGGCAGGCAAAGTTTGGTGGGGTTGTGCCCCATCTGCCCAATGGACCAGCCTCCACTGGCGTATACCTAAAAATGTGAAGGGTGAATGCAGCAACTGAGGGTCTGCAAACATGTGTATTTATGTATCTTCATCCAGTGAGCCAGGACTGGCTGCATCTCCTTGCTGAGAGCACACTTGGTAAAACATGTGGCATGGCCAAGACAATAATTAGCAGAAAGCAAGAAAGCCAACACAACAGGCAACAACCAAGCCGATTTCTTATGTTCATACTAGCTTTTGCCAACACGTGCTCCATCATCATCATCATCATCATCACCACCATCACCATTATTATTATTATTATTATTATTATTATTATGATGTCCTGAAACTGAGAGGTGGAAACCAGGCACAGTCTACACCATTGGCTGTGCTGGCATTCCACCTCTCAGTTTCAGGGCTCATTGGTTGGTAGGGATGGTTGAGGAATTGCTCATAATTCCTAAGAGAACATCAAGGCAGTAAGCAGAAGCGGAAGCAGGTTATACAAGCACAGAGGGAGTGGGAGGAAATAAAAAGGGGGAATTGCAGGCCATTTTCTGCAGGTTAGTGTCTGGTGAAAGGCAAAGAAGCTGAAGGTTCAGGCAGGATTACAAGGAAATCAGGGCCAAGCAAGGCAAGAACGATAGTGCCAGCAGCCCTTGCAGCTGATGGGGAAAGTGTGGGGTCCAGCGGTGTCTCAAGCAGGAAGCAGGGAATGGAGAAGCCACACAAAGCAGCCCTTATAAAGCAGGTGAGGGGAGGAAAAGAGACAGCAATAGGCCTTACCTGCACCCCGCAAACCTGCACAGGTGGAAGAGAAAGAAACGTAGAGAAAAGGGACAACATTAAAAGTTCTAAAGCAATGCTAATGCACTGTGAGTTTCCCAGGACAGAGTCTCTGCTGAAAGGCAACTGTGCAGAAGGTTCCCACTCCTGTATGTGTATCGATCCTCAAAACTTATCCAAAAAGTGTATTTACCACAAAACTTATATGTAACACAAAACTTATCCAAAGAGTATATTTGGATTGAAGCAAGCAATGGCTTAAACAAAACAACGGTGCGACTCCCCCCCCCCCATCTGTAAACATTCCAAGGCAACCCATCTCCTTGAGCCTAAAAGCCAACACTTCCCCAAATCATTCTGTCAAATGCTGTGCCTTGATCAGAGCATCTATATGTGGGAATGGATGGGACTGCCCAATGCCCTGCAACCCACTCCCCCACTAAGGACGGCAGTAGTACAAGGCAGTGCTAGAACTAATAGGTGAGAATAGAAGGGTAGCACATTTCAGATTAAACTTGAGGAGAAACCTCCTAGTGGTAAGAGCTTCTTAGTGGACAGGTTGCCCCAGGAGATGATTGGCTCTCATTTGCTGGAAGTATTTATTTGTTGATCAGATAAATAGTTGTGCTAGTGCAATGGGGCTTCCTCCCTCTCTTCTCCCCTGTGCCACCCATGCACCCCCAATTTGGCCCCCTCAAAGCAGCACATGGGGGGGGGGAGAGGAGAGATTGTTCTGTAAGGCAAGCAGAAATGCTTGCACTGACTAGTGATCTCCTTAGCACCTCTTTGAATTCCACTCTACATTTCTCACCTTTCCACCCAGTGGCGATCAAGAATTCAAAGGCAGTAAAAAACACTAGAACAGCAACAAAAGTACAAAGGAAAGCACAGCAATAAGAAGGCTAAGATAATGCAAAACAAGCACCACATGTTAAAAGCACCATCAATATATTTACAAATCAGCTTGATGGGGATGCTATGGAGATTTCTGCACTGAGCCAGGGGTGGGTGATTGGGCTGGAGGATCTCCAAAGGTCCCTTCCAACTGAAAAATCCTGAACCCTGGCAGCATCACCAACACATTTCTATTTACTGTCAGAAATAGTCTATTGCCAGGACAACAAACATCTTTGAGCCTACTTCAGAAGGCCCAATTTCTTCAAAATCTTATTGATGACAATGGCTCACAGAAATCAGCTAGGACAGTGTTGGAAAAAAGAAGACAGAAAAGATATGACTTAGAAGGGGGACTAGCAGTGACTTGGGTCTGCTGAAACCAAACAGGACAGATCCAATCTGTCCATAAAGTCATCGCCCTGCAAGTGGAAACACTTACCCAGTGAACCTTTGGGACAAGGCACCACAGCTGTCAAGCCGAACTTGGTTTGAGGCCACCACACCCCAGATTTCAAAGATTTAGGACATGCATCGTAGAGCACTGTGAAGCCAAACACAGAAACATAAGTCACAGGGAATCTAAGGTAGGGGTTTTATTCCATACAATGCCTTGATTGAAGACAGGGAGGCCTTTGAAGAACTCTCAAAACACATCGAATAAAATATAACATTGTCTAAAATGAAATTTCAATTTTCAATGGTATTTAATAGCTTATAAAGCACAAAAAAAGGAACCTAGAGCACAAAACTACAGAGGCAGCAGATTTTATACGCATACAGTGGCATTGTGAGAAAAATCTAAAATTACTGTGGGGGATGATACAACTCATTAAAGAAATATTAGGCTGTGAACTGCTGAAGGCACCCAGAGGGGCAACTTCCAAATCCTTTGCAGCATAGACCCGAGTTGTGTGATACAGAATCTGTGTAGAGCTGTGTTCTGCAGAAAGAATTTCATATAGTACTTGAGCAGCAGCGACCAGGAAGCCTCTATGACGGATAAATGTCTCAAATATGGTCATGCTAACTAATTATGTTAAAATATGGAATGAATAAAGGTGGGAAGGTTGGCTCATTGGGAACGAGATGATTTGCATTTAGTCCTGAAACAAGAAATGTACTGATCCAGTTCAGATTTTTTCTATGTTGCCTGTACTGTGAATTGCTTGTCTTTCAGCTTAAGCTGCCATCTTTCATGAAGTTTCAGTGCTGAAGCTGCTCTCATGAAGAACCCCTCTTAAAGCATCCTGAGTTTACTCTTCCATCAACTTACGACAAAGCCATTGGCGAATGAGAGGAGAGATATATCCCCCCTTCCAAAAATTGGGGAAAATGACTATTCCTCTCAAATCGGCTATTACGTTCACCTGAACGTATTTATTTGGACTTCCTGAAGGGCCAGAAGCAAAAACGGGCAGAGCAAGCCCAGCTCTGGGGAATGGGCAGCTACAGGTGGAGATGAGAGGCTCCCTCAGAACTGTTTAGAAACGTGGACGCCTACTCACCCTGGCACCCGCTGGGTGTCACCTCGGCAAAAGGGCTGTCGCAGCTGTTGCACTGCCGGCCAATCACGCCAGGCCTGCAGTGGCACTGGCCCACTTCCTGGTCACAGGAACGGGAGGAGGAGCCGATGGGGTAGCAGTCACAGGGGAGGCAAGTGTTGCTCCCTTTGGGGCAGTAGTGGAACTCCTGCGGGGAGAAGGGAGAGGGGCAGGGGAGGCGGTTAGAGAGCCGGGTCGCAGGAGGAGGAGGGGGCAGCAGAGGGAGTGAAGGGCAAACTGTGGGAAAGAAGGGAGGGCCAACATAAGGGAGCCCAACGAAACAAGCAGGAGAAAGGGAGCAGGGCCTGGTGGGACAAAGAGAGGAGCACTGTTAGGGCAGCAGAAAGCAGAGCCTGGCCCAGCCCAGTCCAGCCGGTCAGTCAGAACAGGGAGATTCAATACAGTGTTTCTCCAACTTGGGTCCCTGGCTGTTGTTGGACTACAACTCTCATCATCCCAATAGTCCTGCTAGCTAGTGATCAGGGGTGATGGGAGTTGTAGTCCAACAATAGCTGGAGACCCAAGTTGCAGAAACACATAAGCTGTTCCTGCCTCCCAGGCCTGGTACTGGCAGCCAGTCAGCTTGGGGACACTGGTTCAGGGTCCCAGGGGCTCAGAAGGTTCCTTTGCTGACCTGATCCAGCTCTGCTGCTGGGCCCTGCCCTGCCCTTGGCAGCTGCTTTTGAGTGAAAGCCAAACTTGGCTGCACAAGTGGGTGTTAGTAGGGGGGTGGGATTGGCAGCACTGTGCCAGCCCTCCATTCCAGTGCTCCCAAAGTGCTTTTGGCCATCTGATGATGCAGGGTCTTCCCAATCCACCATGCCTAGGAAGCGCCAGAGAGAACAGCAGCTTCTCGGTTCCTTAAACAATCTCTATCCTGGTTCAAGCACTATTCCTTAGCCTGTAGCATTGGGTTTGGGTCAAGGAGTGACGTGCTGATAACAGGCAAGAAGGCAGGCAGGCACAGGTATTGAGAGAAGGAAATGGAGGACTCTTGCCAGGTGGTGCATAGAAACATAGAAATGGAAGGGACCTCAAGGGTCGTCCAGTCCAACCTCCTGCAATGCAGGAAACTTTTGTCCAATGTGTGGCTCAAACCCAGGACCCCGCGATGAAGAGTCTCATACTCTACTATCCCAGCAATCACACAATTTTTATTGGTTTATTTCCCACCTTTCCTCCAAGAGGCTCAAGGTTGGTATACATGGTTCTTGTGATTCCTCCCACTACCCATTTATCTTCGCAACAATCCTGCGAGCTAGGCTAGACTGAGTGAGATTGACCAGGCTAAGATCACTCAGGGAGCTTCATGGCTGAGCAGGGATTTGAACCCTGGTCATCTCAGGTCCGAGTCCAAGACTCTAACCGCTATGCTGCACTGGGTCAAGAGACCTGAGAACGAAAACTGGAAATGCATGAGAATGAATATCAAGGTGAGGTTTACATTCCCATAGCTCGGTGCAAGCATTATGACATTGGAGAGGGTTGAAAGGCTATATTGTGGGTGGTGGGCAAAGTGAGTCAAATGCTTCCTCAGATCCTAAGGGGAGCAGAGCCCCAAAACATTTCACAGAGAGAAAGAAAACTCAGTTTTCTTACCTTACAGCGACATTGCCCATTGGTCTTATTACAGTCTGGGTCAAATCCTTTGGCCGCATCGCAGTTGCAGGGCCCACATGTTGGATTCCCCCACCATCCCTTGGGGCACTGCTGATCCATCCTGCAGGGGGGAAAGTCAGATGGATCCCTGATGTTATACACCCAGCACAGCACAACAGCCATCTTTATCAGTCTTCCAGCAGCTTGATCGCCTTCTTGGTTTTCCTCTCTTCCCCAAATTGCATAAATGAGGGTAGGGGCTGCCGGCCACCTGCCTTGGTGGGTCACGAATTGTGCAGGCCTGCCCCATCTCACACTGATACGCTCAGATCACCTCACTGCTAATTAGCCATGTCCAAAGTAAGCTGCTAATCAACTCTAATGGGAGGAACAAATGGATGCACAAAGAACGAAATTCTCTGGTTTTTCTCCTCAGTGGCCTATCTGTTAAAGACTGGAGTGGAGGAAACCAAATGAATAGGGAAAAGAGCTTTACCTAGGCCCATAGGATGTTGAGAAGTACGGGAGCAGTCCTGGATCTCACCTGTGCTCACAATATTGCCCAAAGTGATTCTCTCCACATTCGCAGACATAGCCATGGGGAGCCCCAGGCTTCCGCCGACACACTGACTTGTTCTTGCAGGGGTTCAGATGACAGGCGTCAACGCAGTTGGCACCATAGTAACCTGGAAGGACAGGTTAGAAGTAATGTTCTAACTGAACCCAGCGAGTTTATTAAGGTGGAGTGGATTGCAGTGCCAAGCCCTTATCAATTCTCTCTTACACCCACCCATCCAAAAAGAAAATCCTGCAACAGAAGAAGCCAAAGGCTATGATTGAGGTATAGGGATTGTGCAAATCTGCTTGATTTACACACCTTTGGCTGAAAAATTTGGCTTATTTGATCACTGAACTGAGGACACCCCCACCTCCACACACACAGAATGACTGGGCAGCTTGTGAAAATCATGGGCAAGTGAAGGATCTGTGTTGCTTGTGCATCTCCTACTTGGCTGGGTTAGGGTTAGGGTTTGGGTTAGGGTTAGGGTTAGGGTTAGGGTTAGGGTTGGGGTTGGGGTTGGGGTTAGGGTTGTGCATCTCCTACCTGGCTGGCAGACGCAAGTGTAGCTTTGCCACTTGTCCTGGCACAGACTGTTGGCAGGGCAAGGGTTGGAGTCACAAGGGTTGGGCACAGTACATCCTGCTTCCACGTTCAGAGCGCTGCTGGGCTTGGGTAATGACATCCCCGTGGCTGTGTCACCCAGGCGTACTCCCTGAAAGCCAAGTGAAAGGGGCATTATACAGGATCTCTTTAGGAAAGCCAATGGACCATTTGGCCAGCCTCTCAAGTAGTAGCGACTCTTTTATAAAATTGCCAAGCTTCCCTGATGTTTTCTCTTCCCTTATTACCAACTGTTCAGGTGTCCTATAGAAAGCCGCCCCACCACTTCTGCCCACAAAGAGTGGCAGTCCCTGCAAGGGAAAAAATCTGTGGCTTGTGTCACATCTGTACTATAGATTTAAAGCACTCTTATACCACTTTAACAGTCATGGCTTCCCCCAAAGAACCCTGGGAGCTGTAGTTTGTTAAGGATGCTGAACTCCCAAATACTCAATTTCCAGCACCCTTAACCAATGAAGGTCCCCAAGATTCTCCGTGACTGTTAAAAGTGGTATAGTGATGCTTTAACGTATGGTACGGATGTGACCTTTGCGTTTCTTTGTTTTCTTAAATCTCCCATTTGTGAAAACTGCCTGTCACAGAATCAAAACGGAGAAGGTTTGACATTTGGAAAACTGCCGGGACTTACCTGGATGCAACCCTCCAAACCGTGATGCACTTTACCAGACTCCAGGATTCCCCCAACATGGAGATGCTTCACTTTCAGGCCATGTAGCTCATTTCCAACAACTACAGTGTCCTGAGAAAAGAAACCCAACCAATAGCAATTTCATACTTTACATGTTCTCTACATGTTCTAAAAAGAAGCTCTCAGTTACAAGGCTGGAAGAGACCATTAGTATTGGTCATATATATAGAGAGAGAGGGAGAGAGAGAAGGAAGCAGGCAACAAGGTTCTGTTAAGGAACACTCAAAAGTGTTCCTTACAAAATGTGAAGACTCACAAAATGTGGATCATTTGGGGATAATGTGCCCCCACCTTCAGGGCTCACCTGGTAAGAGCCAAAGTCCAGATTGAGGGTGATGATGTAACGTGTGTCTCGACCACTCCGGACGTCCTGTAGCTGTAGCTGGAGGTCGTGCCACGTCCCATCATTCAAGTGCATCTGATCCAGGAGGAGCTTGGTGGTGCGTCCAGAGCCCCTGTTCACCATGAAGGAGAGCAGGCCGGAGTCCAGCTAAAGAAAGGGCAATGTTAGAATGGAGCAAATTCTACCCAGGGAACAAGACCCAAGAAAGCTCAGAGTGAGGCTGGTAAGAGATGGATCCAAGGGAGATCTCCAAAGGCCAGAGAGGCCTGGAGTGTGGAGGGTCACAGTCAGCCCCTGAGCTAGATGAGCTTTGGTTTTACAGCTTTGAGTGGAATGAATACCTGTCACAATGCTCACAGCACAGAGTGGAAGCAGATGATAGGCTTGTGGGTACTGGGAACGGTACCTGGCAGAGTATGGTGGTGTACTGGCCAGCATGGGCCTGAAGCAGCACTCCGTTCAGTTTGCGTGTCCGGAATGCCAGGCCCATATACCAGGGGGTGGAGATCTTCACTTCATTCTTGAAGTCCCAGAAAAGGATGCTGTTGCCACGGAAATGGTGAGGGTGATGCATGGCTGGAAAAGAAAAGAGGAGCATCAGAACAGATGCTGGAGATCAGAACAGTGTGATGAAACTTGTGACGGGAGATGCCCCAAAGCCCCCCTTGCTTCCTTCACTCCAATGACTTTTGTGCCATTTTGTGCCAAGGAAATGCCCCTGGATTGGGCCTGAGGAGAGGAGCTGGAAGTTTAATCTCACTTAAAATGCCGAGGAGTGGACACACTGTGCAGAAGGAAGGCAAGCAACATGACCAGATGGCAGGTTTAGCAGGTCTGGGCCAAACACTTGAGAACTGCAAATTTCAATGATTCTACAGACTGAAAAAAACATTTGAGGGCTGGCTTTTTTTTTTTTTTTTAGGTAAGTGTTAGAGCACGTGCTTTGCATGTAGGTTCAATCCCATGCATCTCCAAGTTGGGCTGGGAGAGACCTTGGTCTGAAATCCTGAACGGTTGCTGCCAGTCAGTGAGATAATACTGAGCAAGATGGGCCAATGGCCTGACTCAGTCAAGCCTATGTTCCTCTGTGAAATTGTGCTTTTCTCTTCAACATCCTCAAAACTGATGCCTGATTCTTTCCTGACCACCATTCACATGCAGTTTAAAGGGAAAAGTCACAATTTAGATATACATATGTGCTCTATAAGGCAGCATGTTTTGACACTGAATACAAAACGTACTATCAGTTTTGCCTGACTTTCCTTGGGAACTCACACCCCCTTCCAACAGAACCTTTCCAAGGCTGAAGTGTTGCGTTTCGTTTTGACCATACCTCCTGGCTGGCACTCCCATGACAGTCCCGGCCACCCCTTCCACGTGCCTCCTGAATATTTCACCAAGTTACACTCACCATGCCTGCACTCCTTGCCTCCAAAGCCTACTGGGCATTCACAGGAGAAGGAAGACCAGCCCACAGTGCAGGTGCCACTGTTCTTGCAGGGGTTGGAATCACAGAAGGAGTGCTTGGCATGGCAACCTGGGGACATTGCAGATGGACAGCACAAGTGAAGACAAAGGATGTTACTTGGAATAGCTTCTTCTTTGGCTTCAACTCCCAACTTTCCTAAACTATGATAACAGGCCCTCAATGTTGAACATTAACAATAGGCAGGAACATCTCCCGATGCCATCAATTTCCTCATTCAGTCCTTCAAGCACTGCCTTTCTTCATAATGTCTGGAAGCTGCAGCAGACACCAAGAATGGTCCTCTCCAAGTCTCACCTTTCCCTCTGGAAATGCCTTTCTGGTTAAGCACAACAAGTATGAAGTCCCCAAGAAATCCACAGTGGGAAAGACTGATTTGGGATGGTGACCTGAGGATACAGAGCCTTTCCCATTAGGTCAGTGGTTTGGGTCTGGCCCACGTCCTGCCCAGGCAATGAGAAAGCAGAGGTGCCCTTATTAGTATTACAATCGTAGCGTCAGCCAAATGGTCATGCATGTTCGTTAGATAAAACAAAGGGCCAATAAACATACAGGGCTGAACCTCTCTTCTTCCAGGAGTCTTGCCAGAGCTACAAAAGAGAGGGCCAGCTGGTACTGGTGCAGCCTTTGGTATAATTAAAACAACGGCCTGGTTCACTGAACATCAAGCCAGCTATAGCCAAGCTCTTTGCAACACTGCAATGGAAGGCAAGGATGATATGGTTGAGGAATGAGCCATGGCTTGGGAGAGCCATCCATGGTTAAGCAGCTGACATTACCTGTTGCGGTCCCATTGTTTGCAATGTAGGAAGCCAGGTCAATGCGTTTACTGTCAATGTACAGATCTCTCATGCACCCCACAAACTCCCTGTGCTCCACTGGAAAGTTCTCAGGCAGATTGGGGACCCCTCCAAGGAGCAAAGGCCCAGTGAGGTCCAGCGATCTGGAGGAAGAAAAGGCCCGTAAGTGGTATTTGCTGCGGGTCAGCTTTCCGAAAGGTTACCTTTAAGCTAGAAATGGGAGTATAATGGGAAAGGGGACAAGCGTTTTGCTTAATCTACAGATCAGGGAAATGCAGAAGCCCCGTGCACAGGCGTTTTGACATTAAATGCAGCCATACTGTTCAGGTAGTCCCACCCTCCCTGAGCCAAGCATGCAGGATTTAGGACAAGCCATTGGCAGCCAAGACTGTGGTGGGACACCAGATCTTCCACGTATCACCACAAGGAAGGAAGAAAAAATGAAAGTCATCCCACCAGCCCACACTCTCATTGATGCTGTTAGATATTTAGCATATAGAGTCCTCTAGGGTCTTGCCATTATAACTTTGACAAACAGTATGTAATATCAACCTACCTTGCAAGGTTGCTGTAAGCATTACTGAGATGACATACAATTAGTGCTCGGAACATTCAAAACATGCTATATAAACTACACAGAAGCCTAGTTTGGTATCAAGCGGTGGAAAATAAATATATAAATAAAATGAAGCTATCATAGTTGTCCTTACTACAGAATAGTTACCACTCACAATTTTAATTTTCATCCCTACTTTGTATACGTGAACTGAAATGACAGGAAGACCTCTAGACACTGAATTAACCACCCCTGATTTTGTGTGTTACAAGATTGTTAAAGGGTAGACCAATTTGTGTTCAATGGTCTTAGACATTCTGAAGAACACCATGAGAAAGGCCGGTGTAGTGGGAAATTTGGGGGTTTTCTTAATGAAAGTCATTGATAAAAAACCTTTACACGCCCACCATTTCATTCGGTTCACTGAAAAGCAAGTGTTAGCATCCAAGAGCCAATGCAAATAAGGCTGTTGAATGATTACCTGAGACCCATGACCGATTCTGACACTCACAAACAAACACAATACACTAATCCCAACTAAGGAAAATCCTTAAAATGAAGCTTGACTTGTATAAAGTCTTCGACAGTGTTCTTTCCCAAACAGACACTCCAAGGCCTCTTGTTATTTCAGAAGTCATGTTCAAACTTTTCTCATGTCCCATTCCCTTGCATCTATTTTTCATTATATCCAGCTCTTCTTTTGAGTAGAGGCTTGCATGTAGTGTGTGTGTGTGTGTCCCTAGTCCAGTATAAGGACTATCTTCTTTCCTTGTAATTCATTCCTATTTGCTTCTAACTTTCTCTGCCTTTCAGTGCGTTTGCAATCTCCACTTCCCCTCTTCCCACCCTTTCCTTAACCCCCATTCCATTTTTGCCCTGCTATCCTCAACTCCCCACTTTCCTCTCTCGGCCCCCTTTCTGGAGGTGACTTCTGATGCATGACTTAGTCACACAGAAACAGCCACAAGCAAAACAAAATTCGCAAAACGAAAAGCTAATATTTCCCTTGCCTGGATCGAAGCTCTGGACTGCTTTGTGCACATGCAATGCTTTCTAGCCAGTCTGAGCCATCACACACAGGCAAGTGCAGTGGACCTGACAAGTAGGGTGTCCAGAGGATTGCCCGAGGCTCCTGCTTGCAATTGCTACACTGTTCTAAAGGTACTGCTTTATTGTGCATTTTAATTATGGATATTTGTATTTCTTTGGTTTTGTAAAAGTCTATTTTGGCATTAGACAGCATGTGTGCATGTGTGTGTATCAGGGTAGCCAAAGTTGTGCCCTCCAGATGTTCCTGGACTACAACTCCCAGCATCCCTGACAATTGACTATTTATTTATTGTTTATTGATTTCTATCCAACTGTTTCCTTCCAGGAGCTCAAGATGACATACATGGTTCTCCCCCTCCTCAATTAATCCCCACAACAGACCTATGAGGTGGATTAGGCTGAGAGGCAGTGGCTGGCCCGAGGTCGCCCAGTGAGCTTCATGGCAGAGTAGGGATTTGAACCCTGGTCTCCCAGGCCCTAGTCTGACACTCTTATCACTACACCACACTGGCTGGTGGGTGTTATGCTGGCTGGTCGGGGTTGAAGGGAGTTGGAGTCCAACTACATATGGAGGGTCACAGGTTAACCATTGCTCCTATATAGGATACAGAGCTGAGTAATAAAAACTACAGCTGCCTCTGTAGCTGTGGGATGGGGAGGCAGGCAAAAACCCAGAGAGAGACAATGGCACAGAGCAGTCTGTATGGGTAACTGTGAGACTCCCGCTCACACTGCAGTAGGGTGTGGCTTATTATAAATCATGTGACCACACTCCAAGCTTCTCATTCCCAACTTGAGCATGAAGTGGAGAGGGAGCTTTGACTGCATTGGGGCGGGGTGTGTGTGTGTGTTAAGGAAAGGTGTTTCTACTTAGCTCTTTGAAGAGTGGGCAGCACATTTCTGGTCTAGCTGCAAGTGGGAAGCACTCACTTTTTGGAACTGGACTGCACCCCCTCTGCTGCACAGGAGTAGTTCCCAATCTCATTGCCGAACTGCAGTGCCACAGATGCATCACATTTGTCCACCATCAGAATGGCCACTTTTTCTTTGGAAGGTCCCTGCACAGAGCCCAGGGAGCTGATCTTGGGCTGAAATGATAAAGCAAGGACTAAGCAGGCATCACCCAAACAAAATAGCCACATTGCCTTATTCTCAATTCATTAATGTTCCAATGAAACATTCCGAAAAAAAAGACAAGTCAGAATGCAAGATGTGGGTGGGGTGGGGAGCAGAATCCCTGCAGATAGAAAACTAGCAAGGGACAAAGAATATCAGATTCTTATTTAATGTAACCCTCCCGACGCATGTCTGCAGAAAATCCTTCCTTCGAAGCAATGGTTAGCATTAGAGGGAAAATTTGCTGCAAAGCAAAGACCATTTTCAGAACAGAGGGTTTTTTTCTCAAGACTGCAACTAGGCTAATTTCCCTCTCCAGAAGGAAAGTGTTCAACTACCTCTCCATTCCTGGTCTGATCCCATTAATTATCAGCACTACACCCCTGCTAATGCAATTCACATTTTTTTAAAGCCAGCGTATTTGATACGAAGAAGTGGTTTGCTGGGTGGGGCAGCAGTTAGCCAGGTAAAAAAAAAAGTACAAGAAACAAAATCAGACCAGAGAGAAAAATCTGACAGAATGAATCTGTATCATATTTCCCCTTAAAATCCATGGCACGTGGAAAAGAACTGCAGAGGAAGACAGAACCAGGTTAACAAAATAATCACAATGGCAGAAAGCCAAAGGTGCTAGCACCTACCTTGTTGTAATAGTGAAGCTGCACTGTATGCCATTGCCCATCACTCACACCTCCGGGCACATAGGGAGCAACAATGGTGCTAGACTCTCCTGCAAGGAGAGACATCATGAAATGTCAGCCAGGAAGACTTTAGGTCAAACTAGACAATATGTAAAATGTGTGATTTTTTAAAATTGTGTCCCTTTTCCTTCTTTAAAAATGGCAGTCATAGGGAACCAAACAGGAGCAGGACCATGGCACAGGGTGGCATGCTAGTTCTTCTCCACTGTGCTGCAGACCCACCGAGAAGGGTTAAATCGCACCCCAGTTGTCATTGCCATATCCTGGAATCCTGATCCTGCTTGGGAGCCTCCTACAGCTGTTACTTTTGAAGGGAAAGGGCACATTTGGCCCTTTGTCAAACCCTAAGGGAACACTGCTAATGCGTGGTAGCAGTATCACTCTTCCAAACATATCAAGGTAAGAGAGTCTCACTTTGGCCCATATAATCACTGACAGTTCATCACATGCAGGCATGTATGTAAAAGCACAACTTGTGGAAGACAGCATGATAACACAAGTGCTGTGCATATGCACAAAGATAGAGAGAAGTTGCTTTGAAACATGCAGTAGCATTGATTTAGTATTTCTAGATACACTTTCTAAGAAATGGATAAGGCACTACAATGTTAGGAAGAAGGCATGCACCCTTCAAAGTGATTCAGTCGAATGGTTCCAAGTATATTGGCAAGGGAACACAGGAAAGGCAGCTGCCTTGGAGCTAATCTTTGCCTGACCCTTCCAAACATCAGCTCCCCGTGTTGAACAGCTTGTGAAAAAAGAACCTGTTACAGCCAAATCCTGTCTAGGATATGTAACAACTTGGTAGTGTCTTTTTGAAGAGGATTAAATTTGAGGAACGGGAGGTGATTGGTGGCTTTTAGTATGACTTTTTAAAAAGACAACAGAGAGAATCAACCCCCTAAAAAATTTGTGGTTCCCTCCTTCATTCTTTGTATTTTTGATCATTTATTAAATAGGTTGATTGTTTAATTTAATTGGTTATGGGATATTAGGATTGAAAGGCGGAATGTAAATAATATAAATCCACCGTGCACATAAACATGCAGGCACTCCTAAGCAAAGCTGAGGAGTCCAGTATCACAGTGTTGATCTGATTTCCCCCCCTGCAACTAAGCAAGCAAACAAGCTGATGCTCTTGGGTTCCTATTTGTGGCTGTGGTCAGCCATTGCACCCTGACCATCGACTCAGAGACATTAAGAGTCCTGGAAATAACAGCCCTTTCAGTAACTATATTTAAGGCACTTGACACCTGAACATTGCCTTTGAAGTTGAGCAGCCCACAAAAGGCTATATCTCTTCACATGTAAAACGGACATGGTTTTGGGTGGGTGGTCTTGTCGTGTCATATAACAGGATGCCTTTTAAACCACAGCTTAAAACAGAACATGGCTTCCCACTGACGCAGCTCCATCATTCATCCCAACACAAAAAGCATGCTTAACTAGTCCTCTGAGACACAATCTAATTTGACTGTTTGTGACCTTCAGACCCAACATGATACGACGACGTACAAATACATATTATACAGGCACGCGAACACAAACATTGCTGCGCATACAAATATGTTCCCTTGCAATCTACACCATTTGATGCTTTTTTTTCCAGCTTCATGCCTGCTCACACCCTATACCTACATATAAATAGTACCCTTGTGGTTTCCCATTAACACTCTTTAATTATAATAAGAATTTATTAAATTTCTATACTGCCCTTCATCCGAAGTTCAAAGGGCAGTTTACAACAATACATACCATAATAATGAACAAAAACTATACATGCCCTCAGTTTAAAAGGCCATAGATTAAAGGCCTGAGAATGTCTTTGCCTAACACATAAAGATGTTGTGAAGGTGCCAGGTGAACATCCTTGGGGTAGCTTTTGCACTCAGCCCTTTTGCCCTGTGCAAAGCATCACCCAGGATTCCTCTTCAGTCCCAGTGGTAGCAAATGCACCACCACTGATTGCAAACACAGTGCAACACAGAAACCCAGCCCACCAGCTTATCCCGTTCTACCCCTGCCTTCAATGTCTCAACACACAGATTCACAAAGAATCACACATTCAGGTACAGACCCTGAAGACACAAGGCACACACCAGGAGTTCAAACCTGAATGCTATCCTGAAGCCCCATGCTCCTCTGCAGGGCTGCTAATATGATTTTCTGGGCCAGGTACACTGTTTGTGTTCAGTCCTCACCCCCAACCCATCATGTGTTAGTCCTTTTGAGCTCTGGAACCCACTTGAGTTCTAGTGGATCCCCACAACAGTTTCACTTGCACCTCCTTTCTGCAGTCCTGCACTGCTGATTCTGCTTTCTCTCCAATAAAGCTCCTTCCATCGCATCCTATTCTACCATGAACATGTTTTGCAGTACCAGGGGTCCCCAAAAACCACAGACATCGGCCATCACTCTTCTGTTGCTAAGAGAATGGAGCCTGGTGCCCCTTAGAGCTGGTAGGGCAGATGGCAGGGAGGCCAACAGTAGGTGGCCCCAGACCCAATGTCTGGCAGAGCCAAGTCATTCTGGTTTCGCCCTCTTCCTCCTCCCTGCTCAGCTCTGCAAAAGAGGCACCCCCATTGTAAGAAAGTAGGCAAGTAGTACTGCAGAACCATCTACATCACCTACCTGTGGAGTACTTCAGCTGGACCTGCCCATCCACAATCTCTACAGCCAAGAAGTCATGCTTCTCATTTAGACGTCCGTTGTAGATTAGGAGGCCACTGCGCTCTAAGGTGGCAAATCTAAACAAAGCAATTCAGTGATAAAGCAGAGAAAGAATAAGCATTTCTGAAAGTTATTAATTAGGTAGCCTGGGCCTGAGAGAATTATGACATTTCCTGGGGCAATACTTCATCGGGTACAATTGGCTGAAGAGAATGTTGCAACTGCAGAATGATTAAGATTAAGATTAAGATTCAACCATCAAGAAAAAGGAGGGTTGGTGTCTTTCTTTTTCTGCCTTAAATGGCAGGCCAACATTCAACAAGTGAGAGCTAACATTGCATCCCATATCTGGTAAAGCTGCACTTGTTGAATTTCTAGTGTATTGTGTTTTTTAATCGCTGCACCCCACCTTGGGACCTTATGGTGAAGGGTGGGTAAGATAGATTAAGATGATAAGATAAGATGATAAGATAAGATTGTTAGGATATTTCCGTTCCACCTTAAGAAGGGAGCAGGTTGTTGTGTCACAGCCTGCGTATTTCCTGTTCACAGGATGTTTCTCTTTTGTTATATAGCTGTTATTTTCTTTCTCTCTGTGCCTGGAGACATCGAAGCAGGCAGTCATGTTTTTTCCTTTGTTCTGACCAACGCTGAATAAAGTTGTAAATAATGCTCTCCTGAGTGCATCTTTCGCTGTGCGAACTCTGCTGAAAGAGCGTGCACCAGCCTTGGAAAGTGGCATGTTATTTCTGAGGCTCGTGTCGCTAATTGACTGATACTGCGTTTCTACGGGAGATCGATGAATCGTCCGGAGACGGCGTGGGGGCATGATGGCCTTTGTCTCCCTGGCAGTATCCCAACAAAGATAAGAGCCATTCTGCAAGGAGAAAAAAAGGGGCTGACAATTCTAATAATGCGGAACACGGGTGGCGCTGTGGTCTAAACCACTGAGCCTAGGGCTTGCCGATCGGAAGTTCGGCGGTTTGAATCCCTGCAACGGGGTGAGCTCCCGTTGCTCAGTCCCAGCTCCTGCCAACCTAGCAGTTCAAAAGCATGTCAAAGTGCAAGTAGATAAATAGGTGCCACTCTGGCAGGAAGGTAAACAGCATTTCTGTGCGCTGCTCTGGTTTCGCCAGAAACGGCTTAGTCATGCTGGCCACATGACCCGGAAAAACTGTCTGTGGGCAAACGTCAGGTCCCTTGGCTAGTAAAGCGAGATGAGCACCGCAACCCCAGAGTCATTCGCGACTGGACTTAACTGTCAGGGGTCGTTTACCTTTACCTTAATTCTAATAATCTTCTTTTCTTCCAGCTAGATTATAAAAAGTCACATTTGAAGAGTAGACACTCAGCTAGAGCTCATATCTCAGCCCAATCTAGTATGAAGGAGAAACCCAGAAAGGTCAGGCAAATGCATTTTGGAGAGCAGAATGGAAAATGATTATCATCAGCTGCAGCTGAAAAATGGCTATTCTGTTAACTGACATTACAAGGCTCCAGCTCAAATAACTTACGAGAGGGAGAGGGTCAGGTGGAACCTCTGGCGAAGTCCTCGGAACATGATGAAAGATTTTGGGGGGAAGGAACGTGTAGACACTTCACAGTAAGGCTTTTCGAAGCCCCCAGGTGGGCATTGACATTGAAAGCCACCATCGGCAGAATTGGTGCAGGTGCCTCCATTCCTACATACGCCAGGGACGCAGCGTCCGGCCCGACTATCCACCTCACAATTATCACCTGTTGGGGGGAAAAACAGAAGAAAAGAGATCAAGGGGCTTCTGGGAGTGGAAGGGGCAAAGGCTGAGAGTTCCTGGCATTGAACAGGGTGGAGTAATATATATATAGATTGCTAAGAAAAGCCACCTAATATGTCTGCATACTGTCAATCATGTTTGCAGTGCTCCAGAAAAGCCAACCAGCTGCAACAGCTTCCAGCCTGATAAGCCTCTTCCTCCTGATTATACCCTATGTAAAACTTCATGCATCAAAGCGTTCTAGTTTAGGAAGCCATGCTTTGGAGATCTAAAACCCCGTCCACTGCCATATACACCAAGGAAAACCATGAAAACTCAAAGCATGGCAACTTCTTCAGACTCCAGCTTTATCTCAAGGACCTCAACTCCATCACCCTGAAAGCTGCTGGTTGCTTTGCATGGCCGAGGAGAAACTTATGCTGAACTCTCAGTGAATATCGCCTGTGAACTAATTTGAAAAGGTCTATTAGATCAGCTCCTTTACACACAAGGCAAACATTTACTCATATTAGAATTGGTGTCTTCCAGTCACCCAAAGAAAGAGATTGTGTGAAGTCGCTGATGGGCTGGCCATAACAGCAGATCCCTCAGTTGAGTCCTCCTTACCAGGAACAAAATCCTTACATATAGTTCCATGTATGTTTGCAGGAATTTTTCCATGAGCGACTGGCAAAGTAAAACACTGAAAGGCAGAGTGACCATTTCTCATTTTAAGAAATGAGAATAATACCTGTACATTTTGTCTCATGTCTCAGGTTCTACAAGTGCTAAAAGCTTGCTTAAAAATCAAAGGCTGGTAATTATGGTTCATACAGGAGAGGGTAAACTGCCTCTCTCCTGTGGACACCCATGTATGGTTCTCCTCACAAAAGCACATTAAACTCAGCTGAGGAATTTCTCTCAGGTTTATAAACATATCAAAAGCCCTTGTTCTTGTCAAACCAGCTACATAGGCCTACTCTCCTGAGGCTTCAGCAGGCCTCATTTCCAGGCATATACGCTAAAACAGCTTGGGATGGGGACTAGCAATTCCCTCACCATTTCATGCATTAAAAAGATTTGTTTTCTAACACGAGTATCGCCAGAGCCATAACCTGGGGACTCATAATTAGCTGATAAGAGCATGAAACACCAAGGTCATCCATCCAGATAGAAATGTTCAACGGGGAGCATTTTGTAAGAGCTAGTATGACAATGTGCATATATTAGCAGTTTCCACTCGCAGGCAGGGTACATGGGGCTGCCATCACCACTGTGCTTGTTGGCTACTGAGGAGGCAGCAAGAAGCCTATTGCTCTAGTTTAAAGCAGGCCAGGCAGCTGCCCTAGGGGAAATGGACATCATCTATCTCTTTCAAAAGAAGAACCACAGTTGCTGGACGGGCACCATCAGGTGCTCCTGGCAGTGGTTAGCAACAGCAAATCTCTCTGCTCATTACAGCTGCCAAGTTGAGGCAGTTTTCAACACAACTGGGATCTGTGTCCCTAAATGTGGCTTCTGGAAGATCTCTCCTGTTTGTATTGTTGTGCCCCCAAAGAGCCACTTGGTGTCGCCATCTACCATTTGGTGCCTAGGGGAACCTGAAGCAGAGCCATCAGATTCCACACACCGTCCTTCCGACAAGCTGAACTGACAAGCTGAACTCTTCGCTGTCGTCACCAATACCAGGCATGTCAGGTTTGCTGCTATAGTTTTCCCTTGGCTGAGCAAGAATGCAGGGAAAGGGGAGTTCTCTTTGCCAGTGGTTTGTCAGTGCGTACACAGGTGAGGAGACAACAACTAATTCCTTCGAACCGTTTGTCGGCAAGGCTCATATCCTATGCATCGCAGCACACATGAGTTCAAATACTTCTCTGGTTCACTAGAGCACAGAGTCTAGCCCTGGCATGGGCATTAAACTCACTCGCACCTTCCAAGTCTGACAGAAGTATGCTACTGGGCTCATGTTTTCCTTGTGGACTTTTCATAGGTCATTTGAGAGCAGACTGCTGGACTAAATGGGCCTTTTAATCTGATCCAGCAAGTCTCTTTGCATGCTCGTAGGACTAATGCTGATTACAGAAGATGGTATGGGCTCAGGACGGGGAGGGGGGTCCCTGCTCTTCCACCAATATTCAGTTATGATGAGGGCCACACAGCCTTGAATCCAACAGCCTTGAATCCAATTGCTTCTTGCCAGATTGTGGCAGGAAAAGACAATTGGTTTGCAAATGTCAATATCCTCCCACCTCCACTTCTCTAAAGCTGAAACAAGAAAGGAGTTTAAGAGACAGAGGCAAAGAGAGGGCTGGCTAGGATCTAAGGAGCCCATCATGCCTCTAGTTTGCTGAAAGAGGCTCTCTGGAATGGCAGTATTACAAATCTAGGCAGATCTAGAACTGTGGATGGAAAACTAACCACAAGGAGCATGGAAAGATGAACACCTCCTGCTACACTACTGGACAGTTGCCACAGCTACCAGGCCAACATACAGCTCACCCAGTCCATTGGTTTTGTTACTAACAAACTGGTATCAAGCAGCATTGGAGGACATGTGCTATGCATCTCCAGCAGCACTATTTAAGCAGATGGTTTTGTAAAAGACTGTCTCTGAAGCCAGTAAGAGATCTGGAAGGCTAAGGGTCTTGTGGGGGGAGATGGGGCAGTTAGTTATGTACCGTACTTATTTATAAAATTTCTTAATTGCTTTATGTCCAAAAGAATCTCAAAGCAATGTACCAAACAGAAATGGATACAATTTGATGAATACCAGATAAAAACCCATTAAAATAACCTTATACTGTTCCAAAATTAATAGTGACCAGGCCAGGATCATCATTCTAGGAAGGCCTGGTGGAATAAAAAGGTCCTCAATGGGTGCCGAATTCCCAAAAGGGTTGGAGCCCGTCTGATATTCACCAGAAGGCAGTTCCAAAACACTTATTCAAAAGACAAGGCTTGTAATTACAGATTCTAGTTTTCCCTGGTTGACAGATCAAACTTCTGTTGTTTTCACAATCCAAATTTACAGTCATCTCACAGTACAAATCTGTCTGGCTGACACTGGAATAGGCCCTAATGCCAGTAAACAACAATGCAATAAGGAAGGTAATCTAGAAAACTCAGCAGGGCTGGAACAGATTAAATGAGAGAAAAAAATGCTTTCCCAAGTGGCCCTAGGACAGCTTTCTTTTTAATATCCAGGAGATTTGTTATTTGTCTCTGCACCACAACACTCAGAGATGGTCCTACCCATCATAGGTAATAATTGTGATGATTTGGAGGAAGCTGAGTAATGAGTGCTAGAGTCATAGTCCTTAAAAGGACTATGATTCATCCAGAAGGAGATAACGTCTATAGAGGACGGACCAAATTACCTGTACACACAATCCAACACAAGCTAAGGTAAAGGTAAAGGGACCCCTGACCATTAGGTCCAGTCGTGACCGACTCTGGGGTTGCGGCACTCATCTTGCTTTATTGGCCGAGGGAGCCGGCGTACAGCTTCCGGGTCATGTGGCCAGTATGACTAAGCCGCTTCTGCCGAACCAGAGCAGCGCACGGAAACGCCGTTTACCTTCCTGCCAGAGCGGTACCTATTTATCTACTTGCACTTTGACGTGCTTTCGAACTGCCAGGTTGGCAGGAGAAGGGACAGAGGAACAGGAGCTAACCCTGTCACGGGGATTCGAACCGCCGACCTTCTGATCGGCAAGTCCTAGGCTCTGTGGTTTAACCCACAGCGCCACCCGCATCCCCTAACACAAGCCAGCAATGCCTATTTGGGCTCAGAGGGCATCCTGATTCAGGGCTGAGAAAAGCGCTGTTTGCAAGACACCTTCCTTCATCAATCTGCTCCTTCATTTCATCCCCTTTCTGCTAAATATCAAGGATGATCTATGCAGCTATTGAAGAGGGAGCTGCCACCTCTTTAAATCTAGGAAGAGGGAATGGTGGGGCTTCGTGTTGTCTGTCCCCAGGGGAACCTGAGGCATTTCCCATTGTCTCTGAAATGAAAGCGCCCTCTGTTTGATGAGATCTGTAATGATTCCCTCCAGTCTGATACCAGGGGGAGTGAAGACGGGAGCGGGAGCCACATTTAATCTGTTACAACTGGAAAGACAGAAGCTACCTGCTTTGCAAAATATTCATGGGCTTCAAACTTCCATAGCACCAGCTGCTGCTGCTGCTGCTGCTGTTCCTACACCTCTGGTTCTTTTTGGCTGTACCACACTAATGACCCTTTCTTGGGTCTTGAATCAAAGACATTCACCAGGTATGCTAGCTCCAGCAGGGCGGGCGCGTGTCCTGCTTTACAGTCCTCTATCTGAAGGGCTATCTGGTCTTCAGTTCAGAGAGAAAGACCCACAAGAAGGGAGAGCAGCAGGGGCCTTGTGGATGCTCATTAGCAGTTAGAAACTCCTGCATAGAAGAACAAGCAAACACGCAGGTCACCCGGTCGCTATCTTCCTCATTGTGGTGAGATGGATTGCATTTTAATTATAGCCGCTGTTTTGCTTCTATCTGAAGTCTCTCGCTTGTGAGCCCCAACCTGAACCTATGCGAGCCAAGGTTAGGCAATTGCGGGTTGCTCCAATGACTCCCAAATTGCAGATATCATTTCAGGAGGCCCATTCTGTGTGATGTAGGAATTGGCCCTTTAGTGTGGCAGCATTTGCCCTCTGGAACGACCTTCCTGCTACAGATTCAACCGGCACCTCCACTCTTGTACTTTAGCACCTTCCTACTTCAAGCAGCCTTTCAAGAGGAGATTTCTTTCTATCCCAGTTTGTATCTGCACTGAAGTTGTTTTTATCTATGAAATTGTTTTAATGGTTGACGTTTCTGTTGGAAACATTTTATAGGAAACAATTCATAAATGCAAATAAACACAGAGCATCTCTTTGGCTATACTTTTGAATGTGCACATTTTATGTAAATCTATTTCTGCCATTTCCCACTTACGATAGTGATGCCTTTCTGGGGATAGCAATGGTGCCATGCTGAGGGTGTGCCTCTGTGTCCTGTTTGTGGCCGTCCTGGAAGCATAATCTAGTTGGCAATGTGGGCAGCAGGAGAGTGGACCTGATGGACCTTTGATCTGACCCAGCTGGGCTCTCCTTGCCCCCTAATGGTCACTTCCGGTTGGCCTGCCAGTTCCAGATACTGAGCATCACCACATGGGAGTTTATAGGGTCACCAATTCACACCCCACAGATGCTGCTCATACCTTTGCCAGTTGCGAAGTAGCATGGGAGAAAGGGTAAGTGTGACTTCTCCTACCCTGTTCTCTCTCACCTATTGCAGCAGGCAATGATCAGGGGAAGCAGCGGGACTGGGCAACTCTTGTCTCCCCCGGCCACTGCACAGGTGAAAGCAGCATCTCTGCGTTGTGGCCTGGTGACCCAGGAGCTTACCCACAGTAATGCTAAAAATTAGAAGAGCAGAAGCAGTGGCCCAAAAGGAAGACCCCTCATGCGCGGCAAGATTGTGCACCAGGCTGACTGACTACAAAGGAAGATATTTCACAGCTGTATAGAGGAGGGGGATTTTGGCAAGCAAAGCTTGCCACGTATGGGCGAGAAAACCTGAAACCTATTCAGAAATACCAAAGGCCCTGCCTTCCTCTGCATCTGCTCACCTTATGTCTCCTGTTTTCATTGCTGTGTTGTTTTAATGGGGTTGCTTTATTGCCGATTCTAATGATAGATGTTTGAATGGGGTTGCTTTGTATTTCAGTGCAATTGATTTTTATGCTTGTATAACTGGTCACAAGCCTATTGAGTGGCTTACAAATTAAATAATGAATGTAAGTATTCATAATAATAACATAAATAGCGAGAGTGATAAACACAGAGAATCTGATGGGGAGGTACTTCTTCATCCACCAGTCCGTCTGTTGGGTAGGCTCAGCTCAGCACAGAGCTACTTAGCAACAGCCTGTAAGGGGAGGGGCAGAATGAAACCATCCCCTCCCTCCTCTAATTCCTCCACTGGTTCTTTGCTCTGTTCTTTTGGTCCTGTCCACTCTCCTAAGGAAATGGGGGAGATGCCAGGAAGTGACAGGGAAGCAAGTGCACATTAACCCTCCTCCTAATGTGGGCTTGCACTTCAGACGCTCAGGGTTAATTACCATTGACTTTGCTTATCTCTTCCCCAGCCAGGCTTGGAGGCGCGTCTCTTCCTCCTGGCAGGCCGAGGTGTGCAAAGCCAGTTTACCCATTGCCTCATCCTTTTATCAACTGCCAGCCCCTGGCTCCTCTGTTCCTGATTGTCTGTCCAGTGAAGACGTGATCTACCCTGTAGATCAAGGGCACAGGAGGCTTGCTAGGGATGATATGTTAATAGCTGTCTCAGCTGCAAGAAACCATCCATGTGTGAGTATCTAAGCGAAAGAACTGCAATGCCTATCTTCACATCCATCCTGCTCATGAAAAGACCATGTCACAATTACATGAACGAAGCCTCATTAAGCTCAGTAGGTCTTCCTTCCGTGTATAAAAGGCTCAGGATCAGGCTTGCATTTCTGTAAACCATTAGGCTGCTTAAATCCTGTTAAAGTCCATTCAGCTAAGTTTTACTCAGCATGGATCTACTAAAAAGAATAAATATGACTGTGTTAGGTCCGTTAACTTCAAAAGGTCTACTCTGGCTAAAACTTAGGTTTCTTTATATTGTTGTAATGCTGTTATAGTTTAATTACTCTTTTATATGTTTTAAACCTTCTGTGTTTTAATTTGTGTAAGCTGCCTGGAGTCCCAGTCTGACTACCAGTGGAACATCTAAGAAGCTTGATTAATGCAACAGAAAAACTGCTGTCACAACTCTGCAACCTTTGGAACACAACAGCCAAGACCACATAACACTGATTCTGAAAGACCTACATTGGTTCCCAGTACATTTCTGAGCACAATTCAAAGTGTTGGTGCTGACCTTTAAAGCCCTAAACGGCCTCAGCCCAGTATACCTGAAGGAGCATCTCCACCACCATTGTTCAGCCCGGACACTGAGGTCCAGCTCCGAGGGTCTTCTGGTGGTTCCTTCATTGTGAGAAGTGAGGTTACAGGGAACAAGGCAGAGGGTCTTCTTGGTAGTGGCGCCCGTCCTGTGGAACGCCCTCCCATCAGATGTCAAGGAAATAAACAACTACCTGACTTTTAGAAGACATCTGAAGGCAGGCCTGTTTTGGGAAGTTTTAAATGATTTATGTTTTATTGTGTTTTTAATATTTTGTTGGAAGCCGCCCAGAGTGGCTGGAGAAACCCAGCCATTTGGGCAGGGTATAAATAAGTAAGTAAATAAATAAATAAATAAATATTACAGCTCTGTGTCTATGCCTAAAGCAACCTTTTTCTTAGGACAGCATTAAGTAACACATTGGAATACTAAGCAGGTTTCCCAGGAACAAGTACACAGATATTTGATGACATTTCTTCAAGTATATTTTACTTCCAAACTCTAGACATCTGCTGGAGAAATCAACACTTCAACCTCAGTTATTCCTGCAGCCCTGAGAACAACCTCTCATCTATGGGATAGCTCAGTTGGTAGGGCATGAAACACATAATCCCAGGGTCATAATACTAGCCTCACGTTGGGCAAAAGATTCCTGCATTGCAGGAGGTTGGACTAGATGAACCTTGTAGTCCCTTCTGACTCTACAGTTCTATTATTCTCATCTTTGATGACAAACAGACTCTGGAAACACAACCCTGATGCCTGTATTTATAATTTGGTGAACTAAGCTCTTTTTGTAACACACAACAGTCTCTGCCCCTTCTGCTGCCATCCTAGAGCCTGCACTTTTCAGTCTTGAGCAGACTGGCATGAACGATTTCCCTGGAGGAAAGTGTGGTTGTAAAGATTTATAACTCACAGCCTGTCCATCTCTGCAATTCTCTCACTACCTTCTTTTGCAAGATAGCCTGCCTGTTGAGCCTTAAGCTGGAACCCTGCTAGTAAGTAACTAGGTCTGCTTGAAAATCTTCTCCATTGCTGCTGGCCATGTAGCCTGACTATGGAATGGAAAGTACCTGCCGATCACCATCACATTTTCCTCTCCTCCCAGCTGGCTCCCTGCTACTCTCCACCTGCTGGCAGACGAGTGCTTACATTATAGTAAACCCAAAGCTCTAAAGCAAGAATGGGGAATCATTTCTAGCCTGCAGACCAGATATTTATCTCCCCACCCCAGCAGTGCCAGTTTTGACAGGCGGGCAGGGAACTGGATCCCACAACTCCAGCCCTTACAATAGGGATGTGGGACCTGTGGCCCTGCAGACCATCAGTCTTCCAGTTAGCCTTAAAACTCTTGAGTGAGCAGCATTTTTTAAAAAAAAGATAAATAAAACATTAGCACAATATTGCTTAAAGGAAAGGTTTACAATGCTAACTTTCTAAAAGAATAAATGGGGAGGACCTGTTCATCATGGGTTCTTCCTCCTGATTAAACTCTTCCAATCAACAATTCTTATTTTAAAAATGAAATGTTAGTTAAATAACACTTACGTAAAATAACGTTAGAGATTTATAGCAAAATAATGCTAATAAAGGGGGACACACACTTTTCAGTCACTGTCATTTTAGCAACATTATTCCACCCTCACCAATTAAATGCTTCCAGTCACAAACCAACATTATCTACTTTTGTTTATGGGCATTTCATGGGTAGCAATGGGGAATCATGCTTAAATTAATAAGTGCTAGGCGTGTGTGCGCGTGCACACACACACACACACACACACACACACCCCTTTTAAAAAAAGGATTCCTTGCATTCTGCCTTGCCCACTTCCAAATGGCTGCTCAGGTGGGCTGGATCTTCCCTCCCCCTTCCACAGCCACTGTGTCGTGCCCATGAACAGGCAGAAAAAGTGCAATATCCCCAGTAGTGTAGAAAGTCAATTGCAATTCCACTTATAGCTTACAGTGGAAAAGCAGTGATTTATTAGCGCTCAGAGCCTCCCGTTTGGAAGCAGCTTTGGTATAAGCTTTGGTTGGTTAGTCAGGCTTGCAGACCAATAATCCAATATCTTGCGAGAAGGTGATTGAGGGAAAGTTTTTCTTCTAGTCACAGTTGTTGTAACTTAAAGCCCCCGTAACAGAGGTTGTGCACAAACCATGCACTTAAAGCACCAAGAATCCTTGGTGTTGGTAGTTAAAGGTGCTGGGAATGGTAGCTCTTTGAGGGGTAAACTACAGTTCCCAAGATTCTTGAGAGCAAGCGGTGTGTTTTAAATGTGCATTTTAAAAAATGGCTATTAAAAAAAGTACCATATTTTTTGCTCTATAAGACTCAGTTTTTCCCTCCTAAAAAGTAAGTGGAAATGTGTGTGCGTCTTATGGAGCGAAAGCAGGCTGCGCAGCTATCCCAGAAGCCAGAACAGCAAGAGGGATTGCTGCTTTCACCTCTTGCTGTTCTGGCTTCTGAGATTCAGAATATATTTTTTCTTGTTTTCCTCCTCCAAAAACTAGGTGCGTCTTGTGGTCTGGTGCGTCTTATAGAGTGAAAAATACAGTAATAGGCAAGGTGATGATGATGATGATGATAATTTATCTATACCCTGCCATCTGGCTGGATTTCCCCAGCCACTCTGGGCAGCTCCCAACAGAATATTAAAAACATGATAAAACATCAAACATTAAAAACTTCCCAAAACAGGGCTACCGCCCTTCAGATGTCTTCTAAAAGTCACATAGTTGTTTGTTTCCTTGACATCTGATGGGAGGGCGTTCTACAGGGTTGGCGCCACTACTGAGAAGGCCCTCTGCCTGGTTCCCTGTAACCTTACAGTGAGGGAACGATCAGAAGGCCCTTGTCACTGGACCTCAGTGTCCGGGCAGAATGATGGGGATGGAGACGCTCCTTCAGGTATACTGGGCTGAGGCCATTTAGGACTTTGAATTGTGCTCGGAAATATACTGGGAGCCAATGTAGGTCTTTCAGGACCCGTGATATATGGTCTCAGCGGCCACAAGCATGTTCTATTGTAAGAATATTCCAGGAGGCAGATTAGAGTCCAATCTCCCTCCAGCATACATGTTTACGGGTAGTGCCTATATTGAGCCTTAATTATTATTATTTTTAAAATCAGTGTGATGAGAAACATGAACCCACACAAATAAAGCATGTCTAGTATCCTCAGTGCAGAATGTGGATCCCTTTGGCACAAGGACTCCGCCTGGTCCTAAGTAGGCATATGGAAGCCCCTGAGAGCAGAATTTCATTTGGGAAAACACTGCCCCCACCCCACAGCAAGCCTCCTCTTTCGCTGAGGTTCGACCATGGCCTTACCTGTGAAGTGCTGGTGGCAGATGCAGGTATAGCCGCCCTCCTTGCGGGTGCAGACCCCTCCGTTGCGGCAGGGGTTGGAGTAGCAGAGGTTGATCTCCATCTCGCAGTAGTCTCCGGTGAAGCCCTGGGGGCAGCGGCAGCGCAGGCCCGTGATGGGGTGGATGGGCCGGAAGAGGGTGGAGACGGAGGCGATGAAGGGAGCCGAGCTGTCAAACTTGAGCACCGAGATGCACTTCATGTAGTTCTGGCAGGGCTCGCGGAGGCAGACGTTGTCGTCGAAGGGGAGCACCTCCAGCATGGAGACCGCGGTCAGAGTCATGCGCTTCATGTACAGCTGTTCCTGGAGCTCCTCCGAGCTGAAGAAATGGCCGCTGCGGGGCGCCATGGCGGAGAAGCTGACATTCAGCACCTGCCCGCCGACGTCCGTGTCGTTCTGGATGTTGAAGATGAAGACGTCCTCCTTTGGGGTGGCCAGGACAGTGGCCACGCCCTCCAGGAAATTGGCCAGGAGGGGAGAGAGGAAGCGCTCCTGCCACATGTTCTCCAGGCGCACCGTGATGCTGTTGGCCAGCATGTCCTCGGTGATGACAATGACGCGCAGGACGCACTGGGCTGTCACACTGTGGATCCCGTCTGCAGGGCAGAGAAGGGAGAGGTTAGGACAGGGGTTCGGAGGGAAGGGCTTCAAACACAAACACCTGATACAAGAGAAATTGGCTCACAAATTGAGACTGGCAAGAGGAGCAAAGCACAACAACAACAACAGCAACAGCAACAGCAACAGAAGCAACAACAATTTATTTCATTATTATTTATACCCTGTCCATCTGGCTGGGTTTCCCCAGCCACTCTGGGTGGCTCCCAACAGAATATTAAAAACACGATAAAGCATCAATCATTAAAAACTGCCCAAAACAGGGCTGCTGCCCTTCAGATGTCTTCTAAAAGTCAGATAGTTGTTTATTTCCTTGACATCTGATGGGAGGGCGTTCCACAGGGTGGGTGCCACTACCGAGAAGTCCCTCTGCCTGGTTCCCTGTAACCTCACTTCTCGCAGTGAGGGAACTACCAGAAGGCGCTCGGAGTTGGACCTCAGTGTCCAGGCTGAACAATGCGGGTGCATATCTTTGCGGGAGAATGGCAGAGCTTTCTTCCTTTTACCAATCCTCCAGGAAACCACAGACCAGTTCCAAAGCTTGTGGGTCACTTAACAGGAATGTGTTTTTCAGAAGTACACTGCTAAAAGTTGTGGTATTATGTATGGGAATATGAGTTTTGCATACTTTATTTCTTTGGGAGGGAGTCTCTGAATGGGGAGGGAGGAGCAGGAGTTCTGGAAGTGGATTATCGCAAGCTCCCACAAATCAAGAGCATAGAACACTCTGTCCCCCATAAAGGCAGCTAAGTGGAACAATGCACATGTGGAGGGTCACTTCTGATATGGTGAACCAATCACCTGATGAAACCAACCAAGAATACTACAGCAACTTAAGCACTAACTGTTTTAGTCTAAGCTTTCGTTGAATAGAGCCCACTTCATCCGATGCATCTCACAGACGCGCACAGGTGGAAAAAGGCAGGTGATTCGTGTGAATTCCTTCCACCTCCTGCAGCTTCTATACAATGATTAAAGTTGCAGGAGCCTGCCCTCTTTGGCATTGGACCAGCCTAGCCAGCAGGAGACTCTCCTATGAGCAGGGTTCTACTCTCAGGTAGTTATGGCCCAAGTTTCTACAATAAAATATATAGCTATGGTGGAACAGACACAAGTCACACCCATACCATGCATTTAAAGCACACCTGATGCACATTTAAAGTGCATGGCTCCCCCTCCCCAAAGAATCCTGGAAACTGTAGTTTTGCCGTCACAGAGCTACAGTTCCCAGCTGCCTTAACAAACAAGAGTTCCCAGGATCCGGGGGGGGGGGGACTGCATAGTTTAAACACACTTTAAATCAGGCATAGGCAAACTCCAGATGTTTTGGGACTACAACTCCCATCATCCCTGACCACTGGTCCTGTTAGCTAGGGATGATGGGAGTTGTAGTCTCAAAACATCTGGAGGACCGAGTTTGCCTATGCCTGCTTTAAATATATAGTGTGGATGTGGGACTGGTGCTTCTAATGCACGCAAGTTTTTCACACATCAAAATGCCACCCCATATTTCCCCACCCCCATTTAATCCGGGGAAAATCCAATAAGAAAGAAGTCTGTTGCCAATTACTGATTTGCCACAACTCAATGGCTCCCTTGCAGTATTAAACTCGCACCTGAAAGCACCAGGGGAATTTAAAAAGGGGGTGGCTCTGGGCTGTTCACAGCCATATGGACAGGGATGCATTGGAATGGAAGGTGAGGCCGTGTGCTGGGGAAAGTGGAAGGCAACGCGCTGTGGCTCAGTGGTATAACACCAATGGACTAATCCTCTGTTTTGGCATAATATAGCTCCCTCTGTCCCTGTTAGCCATCTATTGGTATTAATTGCAGCTTCCCGACTCCAGAGGCTCAGACCAGAGGAGAGAACTGGGTCCCTGCGGCATGCTTTTCCGCGGCCTGCACAAACTTCTGCAAAAAACATTGCTAGAATCTCGTGAGCGATTTGCCTTGAAATACATCTTTCGTCTGTAAGCTCTTCAGGGCAGGGTTGTTGCTTATGGATACTCAGCAAGAGACGGAGGAAATTTACAGGACTGTAGCAATGTTTTACAATCACCATAAGGAGCCTTGCCATTCACCACCAAATGGAGTACTCCATCTTCAGACTTAACTCGCATGCTATTTGTCACTTTGTCTTAAAGCACACACACACACACACACACACACACACACACCAAGTGCTCTCTGCCTAGTGGCTTTGCTTGCCTTGCGATTGCCAGCTACCCTTCTCTTCCTGGAGCAGGGTGGGGGCTGTATGAGGGTTAGGAAAGGGGTAGAAATTAAATACAGTTCACGGCTAAAGGCAAACCTCCCTCCTTGTCCCAAACACACCCAGACCAGCGAGAACAATTAACTGGAGCCCTGAAGGGTTGTACAGTGGTACCTTGGGTTACAGACGCTTCAGGTTACAGACTTCACTAACCCAGAAGTAGTACCTCGGGATAAGAACTTTGCTTCAGGATGAGAACAGAAATCGTGCTCCATTGGCCCCATTGGCTAAAGTGGCAGGAGGCAGGAGGCCCCATTGGCTAAAGTGGTACCTCAGGTTAAGAACAGTTTCAGGTTAAGAACGGACCTCCAGAACAAATTAAGTTCTTAACCCGAGGTACCACTGTACTATTATGGGGCCCCAATGAGGTCTGGGTAGCCACTGTTATATTCTTCAATGGGGTTGTTTACAACAACCTTTACAACATATGTGCTACTAACTCTCAATCTGTGAGATAGTTGAAATACATGCAACCAAAAAATCAATTTGAGTTGTGCAACTCAAATTGCGTCTACTAAACCCATTTTATTTAAGCAATGTGGACTAAAGTTGTTTCTGGGGTCCTTCCAGGATTAGGGGCTCTGAAACTTGAGCTTCATTAGTTTCATAGTAGATCAGCCCCTGACCTAGCTGTCTAGGCAACCTAGGACCGTGGACCTGTGCCCCGTCTCAGACCGTGGACCTGTGCCTCCTCTCAACTCCCCTCTTCCACCACCACCTGCAGCTGCTCGTGGATAGCACAGAACCCCAGAAATCACTGGCTCCTCCCCCTGGATCATCCTCCTCCCCAACTGCCTCCTTGGCCCATGCATCCCCCCACTTCTCCAGCTCCTGCCCATCGCTGACACTCATTCGTACTTTCTAGAACAGTACACAAGCTGAAACACAGTCATCCTTCAAAATTTGCACTTCTCCGAATTTTGCAATGCAGTTCCCCAGTTGAGTGTACAAAAAATGCATATACTAGGGTAAAGTGTGCATTAAAACACATATATCAGTGAAAGTAGCATTAAAATGCATTATTGGGGGGAATGTTTTTGCAAAAATGAGTATTTTTGGCAAAATTGCGGATGAATGCTTTTATTAGGAGAAGTTTGCTAGTGGATTTTGAATGAGGAATTTAGAATAAAATCACATACGGGTGTCGAAATGTGTAGAACTGAACTTAAGATTGTGGGGGGTGAGAAATGGAGAGAAATGGTTAAAATGGTAGCATTCTGTGGTAGATCTAGGAAGAACCCCTGCCTGAAACCCTGGGAAACTGCAGTCAGTCAGAGCATATCCCAATATAAACCAATGCCTCAGCTTGGTCTAAGACAGATTCTCATGTTTCTACACTTGGAACTGTGTTATGGACAATTGTTTCTCTTTGCTGGTGCCCTCTTTCCTAGCTTGAACCTCCCCCTTTCTCTGACAGTCCCCGACAATAGCTGTAGTGAGAGGGAGAGAGAGAGAAAGCAGGGAGAGATGGCATGACTGTGATGGAATGGTCCCCTCCTGGAAAAGAGTTTCTGAGGAATAAGAAGTCAAGCCATTACTCCCTGCCCATATGTCTTTGCTCTCTTTGTGCTTTTATTTATACACATTTCATATTTTCTCCTGCAGCTGAAAAATGGCGAGGTGCAGCTGTGGCTATTTATAACCAGAGTGTGCGCTCCTCTCAGCTATAACAAAGCACCACGGGACATCCAGCCAGAGCGGCCACTGCATTAGCAGAACTCTGCGCCCTCGGCAATGCGCTGTGGTTGCACAACAGTTATAATGGTGCCCGCAAGTGTCAACAGGTAGCGAGCTGCCTTAACTCTGCACAGAGGACTTTTTGAGTTAGAAGATTCTAGGAACATATAGGAAGCTGCCTTATCCAGAGTCAGGTAAAGGTAAAAGGTAAAGGACCCCTGGATGGTTAAGTCCAGTCAAAAGCAGCTATCGGGTGCAGCACTCATCTCACTTTCAGGCCGAGGGAGCCGACGTTTGTCCACAGACAGCTTTCCGGGTCATGTGACCAGCATGACTAAACCGCTTCTGGTGCAACGGAACACTGTGACGGAAACTAGAGCGCAGAGAAACGCTGTTTACCTTCCCGCTACAGCGGTACCTATTTATCTACTCACCCTGGTATGCTTTCGAACTGCTAGGTTGGCAGGAGCTGGGACAGAGCAACAGGAACTAACTCCGTCGCGGGGATTCGAACTGCCAACCTTCTGATCAGCAAGCCTGGGGCTCAGTGGTTTAGACCTCAGTGCCATCCACATCCAGAGTCAGACCATTGTTCCAGCTGGCCCAATATTGTCTGCACTAACAGGCAGAAGCTCTCCAGGGTTTTAGGCAGGAACTCTATCCCAGCTCTACCTGGAGACACAGGGGATGCAACTCAGATGCTCTATGGCCCTCTCTCACAAATTCCACATGGTGGAGTAGTGGATTACAGGCGTGCTCCCTGTTCAGGATGCCAGCCGCTCCCCTCCATCCCCTGCTCCTGGTTATCCATTTCCCCCTCCACAATCAGTCAACGTTCTATTATTCTATTATGAATTTATAAGCTGCCCTTTATCTGAAAATCACAGGGCAGTTAAAAACATAACAATGCAAAACAAGAACACAAAATACATAATACACAATAAAACAAAAACAAACCAATAATGCCCCCTCCCACATTCTATGGCCACTGAGCATGCTCAGTCCTGATTAGGCTGATTAGGCTTCTGCAAACATTGGGATTCTCCCAAGCCTTCCAATACTTCCCCTTTGTGCCTAGATGCTGCTGCTTTAGCTACATAAGCCACGACACTCATGTGCCACACCCTGTAAACACCAGGAATTATACCTCCCCAATCCCAGATTGCCCTGTTCTAAAGGTTTTTGTGATGAATACTGCATGCTGAGGTGTGCAGCAGGACTTTTGAATCCTGTCTCTCCAATAGCAACTCCCCATGCCTACGGGGCCTTCTTTGTGGCAGCCCCAAAGCTGTGAAACTCACTCCCTATAGAGTTTTTTGGACTTGCACCATAAGTCTTTGGTCGCCCTCCCTGTAAATGGTGTTATTACTTGTATTTGTTTTATGCTTTGATTGCTGTCATTTTATGGTTTGTTGAATATTCATTATTTCATTATTGGATTTTGTTTTATGTCACCTGCTCTGGGACCTGAAGGGGGAGAGTAGGTAAGAAATACAAGAAATAAGCTGCTCTAACTCTTAGCAATGTGATTCCACACAGCCCCACGCAGAAAACTGCTTACAAACATTTCCCCATAGATTACTCCATAGATTACTGGTACTTGCTGGGAACCAGATCTGCAGCACAGTTCAGAGGCTCACGTGGGTGTGGGTGGGTGTGGAGAGAGAGAGAGAGAGAGAGAGAGAGAGAGAGAGAGAGACTAAGATTGGTAGGGTAGGGTGAGAAGACTGTGTCCAAATTTTTATTAGTATTTCCCCCTATCATTCTCTGACCAGCTCACTCAAGGTAACTAGCAAAGCAGAATACACATCTACACATCATGCTGGCAAGAACTGATGAGAATTGTAGTCCAAGTCACCTGAAGGACACTAGGTTGAGGAAGGCTGCTAGAAGCTATGAATCAAAAAGAAATCCAGCACACTCCTAAAAAAACATGATAAACTGTTTAAAAAATATGTATATTTTAAAAGCCTTTTTGCAACTAATTTCTAGCAGCAACCATAGTGACAACATTGACACAGGTCAGTTACCTTGCAGTAGGTGGAAGATAGACAAATCTTTTCCTTTAGCATGCATATCTAGAATGTGAGCCCTTCCCCAAGCACTCAAAAAGTTATCTGCATCCAGTTACTGTAGTTCAGTCAGGCTTCATTCAACTGGAAGATGCTCAAGAGCTTGACGAAACTAATGATTCTTAAGATGCCATTAACATATCTAATAAAGTTCTTGCCAAAGTGTTTTTATGATTCCACACTCTCCCAGCATATGAAGAACAGATGCTTTAGATGAGTCACAGCAACAACAGCCACAACTTGTCACTCCATTAGCAAACAGGCACAGTGGAGTCCAATAAGCTCCGTGGCAGTATCATCGACACAATTAGTTCAAAGCGAGGATCAGAACAGAGGATTGCATGTTCTGCAATATTACAGAGGAACTATTTAAAAAAAATGTATTAGAAACAGCAACACAGTGTAGTCAGGACTTTCAAAGGGTCCCTCCTGACTGGCGTTGTTGTTGCTGCTGTTTGCAGGGTTGAATCCTGCATCGTGCCACTAAAACAATATTTGTGCATCAGTGGTGGATTTATCCTGGACTGTCCACACATCATTTCCCTTCATGAGTTGCTCCTGCACTGTCATTGCATCAGTGTCTCTTGCCCTGCAGTGGGACAAAAGTGGGATAGCATCCAAATATTTGTAATATAAAAAGTTACAGGAATTCAGTGTGCGCTCATTGGTCAACAGAGCATTTGTCCGCCCCAGAACCTTTGCAGGCACAAACAGTTCTGGAAAGCGGGATTCCATGGAACTGCCCTGATACTGTCACGAGCGACAAATCACCACAACTACACAATAAAAAAAGACCCCTGGAGGGTCTTTGTGTTCATTTCTTCTCCCACCTTCAAAGCTTATAGGCCACTATGGAATAAAACCTTGCAACTGAAATACATGCACATTCTCTTCTCCCTGTTTTCTATTATATCCTTTGCCTCTCTTGTCTCCTCTATATTGAATTTTAGATTGTAAGTTCTTCAGGGCAGGGGTCCTTTTCTTTCCGGACTTTGCTAAGCATTTGGATGGTGTTAAATAAACAAGCAATGCCTTAGGAGGCATTACGATAGATTGTGTAGGTGGGCTCATTCATTGCATTGTTCATAACAAGACATTCTGTGAATAGAACTCGTGAGTTGGCCATGGATATAGGTGGGGGTGGGCATGGAATCATCCAGTTAGAGCACTGACCCAGAGTTCAAATCCCACCTACCCACCACACACTTAACCATGAAGCCCCCTAGGTGACTTTGGGCCAGTCACCACTGCTCTGCCGCAACCGCCCCGTGATCCTTGGATAAAGAACAGTATAGGCATTTAATAAATAAACAACCTTCCAGGGTTGTGGTGAGGATACAACAGGGAGGGGGAGAGCTGTGTACCCCACCTTGAGCATCTTGGAGGAATTGTGGGATAGAAATGTCCTCATAAATAAATGACATAGAAATCATCATTGGCGGTGTGAAAAACAAAAGGAGAAATGCCCCCCCCCTTCCTTACCCTATATTAATGGTGCCACTGCAGAGATGCAATTCTGAGACATCTGTACAGACTACTCCAATGGATTGTAATACTGGAGGCAGTGCCTTGTCAATTGCATAATTGTACCAAGCTTGGTAGTTTTGAGCACTTAAAATATACATATATATGATGACCGTATGTAACCGAAGAGACCTTGGAAGAGGTGCTAAGAGAGGGCTGGCAGGCTGAGCATCTTCAGCAAGCCATACAGGTACATCTCTGTGTCAGCATCCCACTCCTCCTGTTCCCAGGTTGAAGCCTGGCAATGAAAAGTGGCTCAAGCTTAAGCCCTGGGCTCTGTCACCTAAGCCAGCTTCCTCAATAGACTTGTGACAGGAAAAGCCCGGGGGTCATGAGCTGTTAACACGGCGCATAGGGAGGCATTGTATTGCAGGGACAGCACAGCGGGAGCATCTTTTCCGCTCCCCTCTCTATGCATGAGCTGCCAGCCCTGCAGAATGGCAGATAATTGCATCTGGTGTCTCCCGCAGCGCTGACATAACCTAGACTTCAAGGCAGAGCACACAACAAATGGGCCCTGTCTGCCGGGGAGACCCACAAGGGGGTTCATGCTCCACTTGTCACGCTGGACGGCAGGCTGCAAGGGAGGCTCGTCTGGGGAGCATCGAGGCCGGCTCCCCGCCACCACCCACATTGCTTTGGATTGCAAAAGGCAGCAACATCCAATGCAAAACCCCACCTGCATTTCAGAGAGATGCACAGGTAGGTGTGTGGATTAATCCCGCTTAGTGTGCATATAGGGCTCCAGGCACTTTGCAACCTCCCTATATAGTGGTACCTCGGGTTACATATGCTTCAGGTTACATACGCTTCAGGTTACAGACTCCGCTAACCCAGAAATAGTACCTCAGGTTAAGAACTTTGCTTCAGGGTGAGAAAAGAAATTGTGTTCTGGCGGTGCGGCAGCAGCAGGAGGCCCCATTAGCTAAAGTGGTGCTTCAGGTTAAGAACAGTTTCAGGTTAAGAACAGACCTACGGAACGAATTAAGTACTTAACCTGAGGTACCACTGTATAGGCCAATATTCGAGAGGGAATGTATTTGTTCAGAGACATCCCAAAAGTTATCACGTAGGGTATGTTATACGCATTACACAGATGACAGGCTGGGAGGCTTGCCTAGGGCCACCTAGTGAGTTCATGGCTGATTGGGATTTGAACGGAGGATTTTCTGTCTGACAGCTCAGGTTAGCCAGCACACTCCACTAACCTGCCCCCTGCAGAAGCTGCAAATGCATTTCCCACATTCTATCAATGCACCGTTTTTTAAAAGCAGCCAGAGGCATTAGAGCTGGAAGGGAATGGGGATCTGAACACAGGCCAGACTGCCTTTCCTAGGAGAGGTCCTCTGCACCATGACGTCTTTAATGCATTAGCTCACATCATCCATGGGATTGCTAAACACCCTTGAAGAGGTGTCTGTAGAATAGTAAACCAATACAGAAAGCTCAGGCAATCGGCCAATGCTGCATGCTCCCTGGGAGGTTAGGGCTGCATCAAAAGGCAGAGAGATCCCCCCCTGCGGCATCTCAGGCCAGGAAATGCTTCACCCACCGAATGCTCACTATACTATGTGACTGTTAAAGAAGTAAAAGAAGGTGCTAACCTCCTGAGGGATTCAGTAAAATGACCTCCTAAATACAGGACAGAAATAAGGGGAACTGCCTTATATTAGGTAAGGTTATTAGATCCATGTAGCTCAGTATTGTTTGCTCTGTTGCCTGTTCATTTCAACAGGACACGCCAGGGATTGAAGCTGAGGTCTTCTCCATGCAAAACATGTGCCATGCGCTCAAGTTGTTCTCCATCCCTTAAATGGGCCTTGCCCATTGTGGGGCTCTCCAGCTGTTCTGGACTACGATTCTGGTCAGACTCATGACCAAAGATAGGGGGGTGATGGGGATTGTGGTCCAAAACATCTGGGGAAACCAGACTGGGTGAGGCTGCCTTAAAGCAATCAGGCCCTGAACTTGAAATCGAAAGCCACTCTTGCATTCTGCCTGATATCCCACCTGCAGCTGCAGTAAGGGCTGATGTTTCCAAAGAAATCGGCTTTTCCTGCACCTCAATTGCTACCTTCAAGACCTAATCCAGGGGTCTGCAACCTTTAAGACAAAAAGAGCCACTTGGACCCGTTTCCGAAGGGAAAAAACCTGGGAGCCGCAAAACCATTGTGACATTTAAAACAAATATATCTCCGGAGCCGCGATCTGACAGCGGACGGGAAGATAACGTCGGGACGGTGCGTGACTAACGCATGCACCGCCCCCATGCGACGTCACAGCCAGTACAGAGCCCGCCACAGTGGGGAGTGTCGGGGCGCACAATGCGCCTCCTCCCCTCGCTAGTATCCGCCCCGGAGCCACGGCAAAGGTATAAAAGAGCCACATGCGGCTCCGGAGCCACGGGTTGCAGACCCCTGACCTAATCCATTCCTACATCAGAGGAATAAGCTAGGCAGGACTCCGCTGCTGGAGTACAAATCCATTTCTGATGGACAACCAAGTCGTAGAATGTTCGCACAGAATGCTGGATTTGGCAGCTTTTTATTAACATTTTCTTATTATTATTTAATAAATTTGTATACTGCCCTTCATCCAAAGATCAGAACATAAAAATACAAAATAAGAACACAAAATAATACATAATAAAAACAAAAACATACCCCAAAAAACCTGTCCCCCACAAATACATTTAAACAGCCATAAAATGTTAATCAGTCAAAGGCCTGATTAATTAAAGGCCTGATAGAGAAACATTTTCACCTGGTGCCTAAATATATGCAACAAAGGCGTCAGGTTAGCCTCCCTGGGGAGAGCATCCCGTAAACAGGGAGCCACCACAGAAAAGGCCTGTTCTCGTGTTGCCACCCTCCTGACCTCTCAAGGAGGCACATGAAAAAAGGCCTCAGATGATGATTAGAGGGGCAGTTCATATGGGGAAAGGCGGTCCTTGATCTGATCCAAGGCAGCACACATACGATCAGTTTGTCATGTCTATTGACTCCAGAGTAAAGTGAGGTTAGGATCACAGCCTTCATCATGTCCATTGATTTCAATGGGCCTACTCTGAGCATGCCTAAGCACTGGATATGGCCCTACCTTTCCTCCTCAGGTGTTCATGGTTCAGGAATATCTCTGTAAGGGAACTTGGTGCAAGTCCCCCTGTAAATAATAATAACAACAACAACACACACACACACACCTCTGGGTGACTCCCAACAGAATATTAAAAATGCAATAAAACATCAAACATTAAAAACTTCCCTAAGCAGGGCTGCCTTCAGATGTCTTCTAAAAGTCAGATAGTTGTTTTTTCCCTTGACATCTGATGGGAGGGTGTTCCACAGCGTGGGTACCACTACTGAGATGGCCCTCTGTCTGGTTCTCTGTAACCTCACTTCTTGCAGTGAGGGAACCACCAAAAGGCCCTTGGAGCTGGACCTCAGTGTCCAGGCTGAACAATGGGGGTGGAGACGCTCCTTCAGGTAGACTATCATGTTTGCAGGATTTGGTGGAAGCAGAAACAGCCAGCCATGGATATGGCCAGGGTAATAAGCAAGGGTGCTTCCATCACAGCCCCCCAAAGCACCCCAGTCCCCCACACTTTGAAGCTGCTCTAATTGGGAACCAATATTCCAGGAAGGAAGCAGTGTTGTAAAAAAAGAGAGAGAGAAACGCCCTCCATCTGCTGACCCAATGAGCAGGCAGTTGATGGCACCCCCTCCATGTACGGCTCAGGTCTGATTGTCTTCTTGTCCCTTGGCAGCCACAGAGCCCAGACACAAGCGCTTTGATTCCTCCCGTTCCTGTTTCAAGTTAACGGCTCAGGAAGATTTAACGATGGAAATAGCTCTTCCTTCCCCTTCTTCTTCTTTTGTCCTTTAAAGAGTGAGAGTTTCTTTGGCAGCCCTGGAAAATTCCAGAGGAAGCCTCAGGTGCTGGCACCAACAACCCCTGGAGCTCTGGAGATAAGACAGAGCTGGTGGAAGGGGGGTGGGAATGTGTGGAGGGAGGAATAAGAGAGCAAACAGAGGCACCGGTGCAATAACACAGGAACTAATCTCCTCGATGGCGGAGTCAGAGATGTAGGGGGTGTGGAGCACAGGGGGCTTTCGTTTCTCCTTTGAATCATCCCTTTTTAAGCCTCATGTGGAACCAAAGCAGGAAATTCTGCTGTGCATCCTCATGCCTTGAGAAAGACATTTCCCCACCCCCACCTGCTCCTCTGCCTCAGGGAAAGAAATACAGTTAAGTAATTCTAAATCTGGACTTCATGGTCTTGGGGTTGCTAATGCTTTGGGGCCTGTACAAACTGGAGGGTCTGCCTTCGACATTCTATTCTCGTGATTGTGCTGTTCTAAAATTTTAGGGTGCACACACATAGCAGACACACACTCCAAAGTAAATCCAGGCCTTCACCCTTCAAAACTGAGGAAATATTCCTTGAGAAAATTACACTTTATTTTAGTGGATAGAACAACCCACATCTTGTCTCTTCTAATGACTCTAAATATTTCCTCCTCAGCCATGAAGCCTAACCAGCCTCACAGGGTTGTTGTGAGGGTAAAACATGTATACATGTACAGTGGTACCTCAGGTTACAGACACTTCAGGTTACAGACGCTTCAGGTTACAGATTCCGCTAACCCAGAAATAGTATCTTGGGTTAAGAACTTTGCTTCAGGATGAGAACAGAAATCGTGTGGCGGCGCGACTTCCGGGGTGGCGCCATCGGTAATGGCGGATTCCCTCTGATTCGGAGGGACTGGCTCCACGGAAAACGGGTCTTTCCCGCTACGGCGAAGTGGGGACACTTTGAAAAATCACAGGCGGATGAAGCCTGTGACCATGGGACTCGGCGGGCACCTTTCGCGCGCCCCCAACTCGTAAAGGAACCCAGTTACGGGCTCCAGAGCAAAGAGGGGCAAGTGGCGCGGTGCTGAGAGTCAACTGCTTCTTCCGTGGAGCGAAGCCGCACAGCCGTTGCCGGAGAGCGCTGCCTTTTTCCTGGGACAATTTGGCTACTAAAACAACTACCCGTGAGTAGCTTAAATTCGGACAATTGGACTTTAAACAAAGACTTGTGAGTAGAAAGGAAAATTGGACTAAGAATTTTTTCTTAATTTGGCACTGAAACGGGAAGGTCTAAACAGGAAGTCAGCCTTCCGTTTCTTGTAGATAGATTAAAGCAAAGACATGGCAAACTAGAGTTCAGAAAATCGTTTGTAAAGGATTAACTTTCATCATTTAAAATTGTTGAACCCCCTTCAGAAACAGGAGAAGAGGGGGGATTTTTTCCGGACTGTTTAAACCTGCAGAAGAGAGTGTAAAGAAAAGTAATTTTCCACCGTCTTGAACCTTGGAGCGGGGTGTCAGGACTGACGTTTTTGGGAAGTTCATTGACTATAGACAAACGTCTTTGACAGACAGTTAAAAGAAGAGAAACATAGTGATTCCATTGTTATCCTTCGCATTTTAAAGGAACAAATATTGACAAAATATCTGAAAAAGGAAACCTTGTTGTTAGATCTGCTTTTAAAAGAAAAAAAAAGAGAGAAAGGAGATGGATACAAATAGAAGTTCTTCCCCTAGAGGGAGCCTGTGAAACTGTTACTAAATTTGAACCGGGGAGCT